AAGCTAATTAAAGATATTTCCATTTGTTTTAGGAAGTTTGTTGAATAATATCTAAACGAAACAAAAAAAATCTTTTAAAGATATTTTATGAGAAATAATATATTCGCCAATTTGGGTTGGGGATCAAGTATATAAAAATCTCGTAAATATTATATGTTATATTTATTACATATACTAATTTTCACATTGTAGTTATTTAAATCAAAGAATTTAATGAGTTAATTATGGAATACAAAATATCTATGTAAATCAAAAAGTTTAAAGAACCAATAGCGCTGGAATTGATTTTTTTGCTATAACGATTACTAAAACATTTAAGTAAATAAAGATATTTCGTTATGATTTTTCAGCATATTCGAATTGTTGATTATTTCGAAATTTAAGGATGTTTAAGAAATCATGATTGATTTCCGATTTCATAAATTTTGATTATAATTAAAAATAAAAGATTTAGTATTTAGATAAGGAATATACTATAATAAGGATTATTAGTACTCGAATATATTAGGAATATTCGTATTGTTAGTTTATTTAAGAGAAATTGTTAAAAATACCCTTTTTTCAATACCCCTTTTCAAAAATGCCCCCTTTGAGAGTCCATTTTTAAGTTTGCCCTCTTTTAATTTTTAATGACCATTTTACCCTTATTTGAAACAAAATTAGGTCCACAAAATATAAAATATTTTTTGGCGGGAAAAGTGATCCCGCAATTTTCCCGCCAAAACACTTGTAAAAACCTTTAAAAAACCTTGTAAAATTTTTCCCAATAAAAAATTTTCCCGCCAAAAAATTTTCCCGCCAAAAAAAATTTTTTTTGCCGGAGAAAAAGTGATTCCCCCCAATTTTTTTTTTGCGAAATTTTTTTGGCGGGGAAAATTTTTTTGGCGGGAAAAATTTCCCAAGGTATTTTAAAGGTTTTTTACAAGGTATTTACAAGTTTTTTGTAAGGTTTTATAATGTTTTTTAAAAGGTTTTCCAAGGTACTTTTAAGGTTTTATAAGGTATTTATAACTTGTAAAACCTTATAAAAAACTTGTAAAACCTTATAACTTGTAAAAACCTTATAAAAAAGCTTGTAAAATCTTATAATATCTTATAAATACCTTGTAAATACGTTGTAAAACCTTTTAAAATACATTGTAAAACCTTATAAATACCTTGTAAAAAACCTTTAAAACACCTTGTAAATTTTTGCGGGAAAAATTTTCCCGCCAAAAATTTAACGCCAAAAAAATTGCGGAATTACTTTTCCCGCAAAAAAAATTTTTTGGCGGGAAAATTTTTTGGCGGGAAAAAATTTTACGGGAAAATTTTACAAGGTATTTTAAAGGTTTTACAAATTTTTACAAGTGTTTTGGCGGGAAAAATTGGGGGATCACTTTTCCCGCCAAAAAAATATTTTGTATTTTGTGGACCTAATTTTGTTATATTTCCTTATATATTTATAATATCTTTTATTAAAAGAAGGGTAATTTAGTCATTTTGTACATAAAAGGGGTATTTTTAAAAATGGACATCCAAAAGGGGCATTTTTGAAAAGGGGTATTGAAAAAGGGGCATTTTTGTGAGTCTCCCTTTATTTAATTCAAAAATTATAATTTGCGGATTTAAAGGAAAATCTTCTCGAGATTTTAGGCATATAATCGAGATTTTAGTAACAAACTGTGATCACATTAAATTTTCGAAAGATTTGTGTCGAAATTGTTAGAAACAAATTAGGATAGATAATGTTTGGTTAGTATCTTTTTAATATTTTCAAATCTTTAGAATTAAACTCATTGACATTATATTGTTGAATTTATTTTTTAAAAATGACGTAATATTAAATAAAAAAATAAATAACTAACTATTTTCATTTGATGGTGTAGACAAATTACTATTTATGTAATTTAATTACAAATAACAAATATTAATTTTTATAACAAAACAAATTATTTTCGTAATAACAATTTTTCCCCAAATCAATCTTTTACAAAATATTTATTTTAATCACATATTCTTTCTATATAGAAATAAATAGTTAAATAATTATGGTTAGAAGTAGTTAAGGTAAATAACAAATATGGTTAGTTTAGATATATTATATATATTTCTAATTTAGGTGTTAATTAAGAATTAATGTCGTTTTTATTACAAACTTCCTTAAATTTCTTATTCTAGATCCGAATAGAGTTAAACCCGGGTAAAACCCGGATCCAAAAGACTTTTTGCAAAAATCCCCTGTAAAAATGTATATGTAGATATCTTGGTTGCTTTTGACAACCTCTCTTTTTATGTATGGTTACACCATTTGACGCCCAATGAAAAAAACTTAATCAGATCAAAAACATATACATACGTTATTATACAAACATAACTATTTAGTTTCAGCCTTGGGCTTGTTTCGGTTCAATCACAAGCCAAAATAAACCATCAATCACCAACACATCATGCGCCTTTGTAAATCAAACTTGTAAAGATTTGAGATCATTGATTTAATTAATTAGTCTTGGTTTTCCAAACTTACGTCACTTACGTACGAGCAAGCATATGATTATGCTTACGAGACAGGATGATATGCTTACGGGTTAGGATGTGATTAGGCTAAACGAGTCAGGATTGAATTTGTGAGTCACTAAGATTGTACATGAGTTAGGATGTTCTCTTTAGCTTTCGGTCTTTTCCGTTACTTGTATTTCTTTGTAATTTCTGTCAAAAAATCGCGAAAATTGTATAAATACTTAACATCGATACCCAAAAAAGAGGATGTACATAATGATGGATGATTGTTGTGTTTTGAGTGTGAATTTCACGTTCTTGGTTGTCTTGTACGTTGTTGTATGGGTGATCGTACGTGATTGATTTGTTTCTTGTGTATCGTGTAATGTGTGAGTGTGAATAGAAGGGACTGTCCTTACTGAACAATTCGTTTCTTCATACGTACTTCCTATATACGCATTACGCAGGCTAGAAATGAGTTGAGGAGTAGTAAGCAGCACAAGATTCCGCTTTGGTTATGGGATTTTTGGTTACAATGTATGTCATAAAATCATGACTATATTATGTATTAAAATTAATTAATACTTAAAGTTATCTTATAACTCATGAGAAAGAGAACAATTTGGTTTCTTTTCTCTATGTTTTTTAATTTATTTATCAACATTAAAACAGAGAGATTATTATTTTTCTTGCTTTTCAGTTTTTTTTTTTGGCTCTTTCTTTCATTTAAGATAAAACACATGTGAATTTAAGAAAAGACAGAGGAAGGAAAGTGGGTGAATCCTTTTATGTCCGTCAAAGCGTCTCAATACATTTGTGTTATACTGTTATACAAGCTTAACATATAGCTAATATATCCCTTAATCCTAGTAAAACATTCTAACCATTGCAGAAGATTTGGAAGATTTTTTATTTGTTATAGAAAATTTGGAGAATTTCTATTGCTACCATTTTGAATCATGTTTAATCAAAATTTTTTTTATATAGTTCTCTCTCCGTTCCTCCAAAAACAAAAGATTATTTTCTTGTCACATAAAACTTGGTTTTCTATGTTTTATATGCATTTTTACTAATAATTAAACCGTAAACATCCTCATTTTAGGGATCCGTCCGAGTCGCACCTATCTGAGTGACGGATTTAGTTGGTCGCATACTAAGTCCGGAAATTATACTGTTAAGTCAGGATATTGGGCCGCGAGAGATTTATCTCGTCCTACTTGTGACCCCCCTTTTCAGGGACCGGGTGTCTCGGCACTTCAGGCACAAGTATGGAAGCTTAAAACTACGCGAAAGATTATGCATTTCGCGTGGCAATGTATCTCCGGTTGCCTAGCAACTTGTCAAAGATTATCCTACCGCCACATTGGGAATGAGAAAGGATGCCCTCGCTGCGGGAGCCCGGAGGAATCTATAAACCACTTACTCTTTGACTGCCCGCCCTCGAGACAAATCTGGGCTTTGTCCCCTATCCCCACCTCGGGGCATATCTTCCCCAGAAGCTCCCTCTTCTATAATTTCGATTTTCTTTTCTGGCATGGGAAAGAATTCGGAATAGAAGAGGACACTCTTGAGATCTTCCCTTGGATTCTTTGGTATATCTGGAAAAGTAGAAATAGATTTCTGTTTGAAAATATCAGAGAACCTCCCCAAGAGACTTTAGCTTTGGCGATTCAAGAGGCGAATGCTTGGAAACAAGCAATGCTGAAAGATCGATCTCCCGTTGACCCTCTCCCCCCCGGGGTATCTGCCTTACCCCCTCCCCTCTTGACTTCGGAATGTCAGATTGACGCATCTTGGCATATGGATGATAGTCTAAGCGGGTTTGGATGGGTTTTAGTAAGACATGATAAAGTCTGCCACCTAGGACTCAAAAGTGCTCGACGAAGTCTTTCACCGCTCCATGCGGAACTCGATTCTCTGTTGTGGGCAATGGAATGCATGATCTCGATTGGGGATTCTTCTGGTGCGTTTGCCTCCGATTGTTCTGATCTGATCTCCCTTCTTGACAACCACGAAGATTGGCCTACCTTTGCTGCTGAGCTAGCCTCTTTTCGGTCTCTAATTTGTTTTTTCCCTTCTTTTAGTATTAGATTTATTCCTCGCAATTTTAATGGTCGGGCTGATTGTTTAGCCAAAAAAGCTCGGGCTCGTAATAGTCTGTTTTCCCATGTAAGTAAATCGGTTCCTGATTGGCTCTCCCTAGCGGATAGTCTCTTTCCAATAACTTAATATAATGGCGTTTGAAAAAAAAAAAAAAATTAAACCGTAAACATCAACAAATATTAATTGAGAATATTTGAATTTATTGAACCAATAGGTGAGAAAGGGTTTAGTATAAGTAAATGGTGTAGGTACAACTAAACACTAAGTGTTTTTTAATTTGTATGAAAACTCAAATAAATTCATTTCTAGGAAGTATCATTCAACTTAAAAGAAAATTAATTGTGAAAAAATTAAGAACAAAAAGTTAATTCACTTATAGTAGTGCAGCCAATTTAATTTCGTAAAGTCGATCTCGAATCTATTCTAGAAACACTATTATTATTTGGCGCAGTCAACGTCAACAAACACAATAATTTGTTACATTATTGTACATATACATGTGCATGCATGCACACATACTTTATTGATTTTCATATAACAAAAAGAGCTCCCAAAACATACTTATCACACAAAACATATATTAAATAATCAAAAACCCTTATTTCGATCGTACTACACGGTTTTTGATAAACTTGAAATCACCAAACATTGTTGAAACTCGGAATCAAGCGCACACATTAATTTATGCTTCGGAGACGGCACAATAAGCTTGAAGAGTAGATTGAACTTTACGACCAGCTTCTGAGTGATAGAAGGTAAACAAGTCGCGGTAATCAAAGGGTCTGAAGAGACGTGGATGCTTCTCGTCCACAAGTTCTATTGGTGCCTCTATGATATAATCTGGTTTTGGACACGTGAAAATTGCTGCTGTGTATCTTGTCTTCTTTTTCTCCGTTACTCTTACTCGGTGATACGGAGCACGAATTCTACCGTTCATAAGTGCCTGCAACATCACCAAGTAAATGTTGATTACTCTTATATATCTTTTTGACAAGAAAATTATGAACAAGAAAGAAAAAAAAAAACAGAAGTAGCTAGTGGACCAACATTGAAAGTGATGAGAGCAAATAAAATCATATAAATTTAGATTTGGTTTGAAATTAGAGCATTATAAAGTGATTGTTAGAGAAATTGGTTTGTCTATATTATTTATTTGATATTTGAGTTCCTAGCTCTAGTCAAAATAAGTTATAGATCCACATATGTTTTATTTGTAAAGGCCAAAGACCCTTAACTCGACTTTTCGAGACTGTTTGCCACATGACCGAACAAGACTAGCACGAAACCTTGAAGAATGAAGAAAGGTTAATATTTTTGTGCCATAGAAAGTAAAAACGAAATGAAAAAAACTTACACATAGAGAATCTCCGGCAATAACAGTGAAAGTATTCGGGGATGGTTTCACTCTGATCCACTTGTCATCTTCGGTCAGTACCTCCAAACCTTCAATTTCATGTTGAAAAAGTACTGTGAAAAGGTTTTTATCAGTATGAGAAGGTAAACCCAACTTCTTCTCCTCATTATCATCATTAGCCTCAACACCATCCCCACCAGTAGCACCAGTTATAGCATTAACATCAACATTAGAATTAACATTAACACCAACACCAAGATCAGTATTAGCGTTAACACCACCACCGATGGCAACATTAGCTTCAGCATCAACATTAAGATCATCATTAACATTAGCACCAACACTAGCATTAGCATTAACATCATCACTAATATCGGCATTAACTTTAACACCAACATTAGGACCAACACCATCATCACCATCAATGTTAAGCTTAGCAAGAAGATCAGCATTATCGTTAACAGTAGTATTAGCATCACCATCAGGTGGTGCAATATACTTCATCAGTCGCATACGGTATTCCGTAGAATTTAGATGTTCATCAATGTATTTTTCTATTCCAAAGCTCTCCATTACCATTCTTCTCACCATCACATCTATTTCCCCTAACTTCTCTGCAAACAACTGGATCGTTTTACTGTTTTCAACCAAAAACAAAAGTTTGTAAGGATTCATATGAAAACAAGAAAATACAAATGAATATGCAGAAATTTTGTTTTCAGTTCATTGGTCTCATACGAAGAACTTAAGCTTAAAAAAAAAAAAAAACTAATAAATGTAATTCTATAAAAATATGGTCACTCTTTTACAAACTGCAAAACGCTGAAGTTAAGCCAAAAGAAAAAAATTAACATGTTTTTAACTAAACAAACTAAAAAGAACTTATGCACAATGTATATATGTTTTAAAGCATGAGTTTTCACCTGATATTCTCGTTACCGTCACCATCAGGCCATAGCTGTTGAGAAAATTCGTTGATGTTCTCCAAAATATTAGCATTACTGATCCCCAAACTCTCGGAGAGATTATTATGATTCAAATATCCAACGTAAGGTTTGGGGCACACGTTTCTTTTTTTGGTCTCAACTGGCAATCCGAAAAGCTCTTCCATGGTTTTCACAATCGATTCCTGAAGCTCCAATGACACTTTATCATATGAAGCTTCGAAACAACCGAAGTCTTCGAGAGCTTTACGGACATCACTCCTCACTTCAGCCCACTTTGAGCTTCCTGGTTCTAGGGTTTTGTCCGCAAGATTGATGAGTGGAAGCTGAGGACTGCATGAACCCATTCTTCTTTCCCTTTTTGGTGTAATTGTAATAAGTTTGTAGATTTTAGCAGACAATAGCAATAATTAATTATAAAAAAAACATTCGAAACACATAAGAAAATTACCTTCGGAGATTTTATTGATTGTTTTCCTTTTGCTCTAGGGATTTTTCTTCTTCTGTGCTGAGTAAGAATGATGAAAGGGTGCCCCATTTTATAGAGAAATTATTGCTTAATAAATAATAGAGAGAGGAAGGAAAGTTGGTATATATAAATTCACATTTTATCCAAAAAAAAAAGCAGCAAAAGGATACGAAAGTTGGTATATAAAAAACAAAAAAAAAAACTCACATTTTATCAAAGAAAAAGGAAAGTTGGTGAATCCTTTATTTCCTTCGTAGAATCTCAATCAATACATTGTGTGTGATCATTATTGTTGTACAAGATGAACCTAGTTGCATTACTTGTGGATGAAACTTAGTAAGCATTGTATATGATTTTGAAGTGACTCTGTGTGCTATACTCTTAGACCATTTAAATTCTGAGGCCGATGATAGTACTTTTTGAACCAAAGCAATAATGAAGAGAAAAAAAAGAGAGAGGTCCCATTTTAAAGATAAAATATTTTTTTACTTAACTCGGTTGGATCCAACTGTATAATTTGGCCATTACTTTGGATTAGAGCTGTTGTTTTACCTGCATATACACGTCGTGTCTGTGATATGTGATAAGATAGATTGCAGGTGGAAGATGATTAATCAATTTCCGGTATTGTTAAAAAATGATCACAATGTATATAACAGAAATACGAGCTGACGATCACGTTTTTGACTTGTACATTTGCTATCTTGAATAGCCCAAAAATATGGTGATGATATAAAATGAGACAGTTAGAGGAATAAAATGTCCTTTGGAATTTGGTCTTCAATTCTCAATTCATGTCATCGGCAAAAATTAGATTATCCAAAAAAAAGAAGGAGATGATTATGACAACTTGGGAATGTAAGAAATAGTGATCGATCGACCTTTAGAGCATGATCGCAGAAAGGACGTAATCCATATATTAGAGAACTTTTAATGTTAAGTTTGCTTTTTAGCCCAAATCAAGTCCTTTTTTGTTTTTGTTAACTAAATTAAATTCTAAAACATTATTTTACATAACATACCTGCAGAGAACTGATCGAAGAGGTATCTAAAGTATATAGGAACGAATTAAAGAGAATATAGAAAATCATCGTTTAAACAAATTGTAGTCTATAGTTAGTCAATCATTTAGTTTTTCTTTTTGTATTATATAATTTATGAAATTACACAATTGTTTTGTTAGGATTAACACATGTGTAATGTAGAAAATGCTACGTTATATGCAAGAGACCGTATCACCATGGGGTTGGAATAAGGTTAAACTCAAGTAAGTCAAAACTTTTAGATTAACAAAAAAAATTGTCGCATGGGAATTCTGTTCGAAGTCCGTCTTCTGGTTTAGTTTCGGTTTGATTTTTAAGTTTCTGGTTTTATGCGCAAAATTAGATTTAAGTAGTTAATAAAGATAAAGATAAAATAAGATGTGAGTGCGAATAAAGATAAGAATAAAGATATGGACGTGGTTGTAAGATAAGGAAAGAATATTCTAGGTTGTAAAATAAGAAAGGAATATTCTAGGTAATATTCTCTAAGCCTTGTAGTATAAATAAGGAAGCTTGGAAGTGTGTTAAAACCAAGCTAAGCGAGTTAGAAAGAGTTAAAGAGTCTTGAGTCTTGTAATTCTTTGAGTGTTTTAATAAAATCTCCCTCTTGTATATAATTTCCTTCCTACTTCCTTCATATTGTCTTAGTCTATACTTCTGATCCTAAATACCTTCTTCCTCTTCAGCTCCGATCCTAGTTGATAATTTTTTTTTTTGAAAAATATAAAATTTATGTATCCAAAGTGTAAAATTATACTAGTTTACCAATCCAAAAAAAATTATGTTTTAAATTTCTTTGGCTTTGCCATGTAGCTTTTTGTTGTTATTCAATATGTCTTCACATGCATATACTACACACAAGAGATGCACCGAAGAAATATATATAACTCATCTCATTAAAGAGTTTCTTTTTAGAAGAAAAGCAAATGAGGGAAGAAACAAATAAAAAGTATAATATATCATTCTTATTCTCTGGTGGTATATACACATGTACGGCAGAGTATATACATGAACACTTTTGAATCATAAATCTTACGAATTACGATACTTGTATAGAGTTGCACCAAAATCCAATGTTTGTTGACTTCATGATATGGAAGCAGAACCAGATAATGCAATCAGGTTCTAGGTACTTAGTGAAATCCGTAGGAGAATGTTAAAAAAAAAAAAAAAAAAAAACTTGTGAGAAGAAACCAATGCTAGCATTAACTAATATAATGGATAGCCGTCACAGATAGGGAGAATATACAGTACAAAGTCTTCAAAAAATAGATTCAAGCGGTTAGGTTTAATTAACTCATTATTCTCCCCATATTTCAAAAGAAGTGAAATCCCATAGCTATGGATTTTTAGTTAATGGATTTTAAGTTTGTAAAATCATTTGTTAAAATGTCAAAGAAATTTGACAAATGTTTATATTCACAGATCTAATGGATAGTCGTCATGAATAAACTCTCTGATCATTCATTCAAAAAAAAAAAAGGTTGAAGAACGCAATCCATCGGCTATAGCAATGCTCCCAATAAGTTTTAGGTTGTTGGAATCTTGACCTCCTCTTTCACTTAGGGTCAGATTCACTCTTCTCTCTACTTCTCTCTTATACTTTGTTTTGTTAATCACAAAGCTTTTAGAACACTTATAGAGAGATTTTCTTTGGATGTCTACATTGTTTCTCTCTTTACATCTCTTGGAGATTAGGTTTAGCCACTTTAACCTTTTTTTTTTTTTGTCAACGCCACTTTAACCTTTTTCTCCTTAATCTCTAATTGTTCTTCTCTTACAAACATTACAACATATTTATACTAGTGTCTTATCATTAACCTAACAACTTTCTACTAAACAAAACAAACCCATTTCTATTTGGGCTTTACTTGTTTTCTAGCCCAATGGCCTCTTAATCCAATTGTGACCAATGGCCACTTCACGACACTTCGTCTTCTTCTTCTTCTCCATCTTCTCTTCTTTGCTCCATTGAAGCTTCTTCTATTATGCTCTTCTTCTTTATCGGGTGTGACTGGTAGGTGTTTTTAGAAGAAAAGAAAAATGTATAAATTTTATTCTTCTGAATTCATCTGTGTTTTCACCCGTCAGAAAAAAAGAAGAAGAATTACTTTTCTACGGAAAAGTGAAAAAGCAGAGTAAAGTAGAAGATTTTATCCCTCTACAAAATAGCTAAAGTAACGTTTTCTTCTGAAGTGCCATTTTCTTCTCTCTTCATTTCTTCTTTAAAATTCTACTCATTTCTTCTATAGTTTTCACTAGTCAGACCCATCATCTTCTCACCTTTCTCCTCAGGTTTCTCTTATATAGGATTAAGCAATTAATCAACTTCCAACAGATCAGCTATATCTACCATCTTTTGAAAAACTTTGCTTTGAACTTCGTTTCATATCCAGTAGTAACTAGCACTTTCATATTATTATTATTTGTTAGAAAAAATCTCTGAGTTGATGATAGCATTAAGTGACACACACACATGCATGACACAAATAAACATGCAGCAGCGTAACGGTAGTTATTAATGGTTGCCATAAATGTCAACAAACTCAATTATTACTTCATTTATTCATATATATATGGGATAGATATATGCATAAGATCTAGTCAGCTACCATCTGTATTCTTCCACCAATTTTTTTTTTAGTATTTTAAACCATAATCATAAAGCAAAAGAGCCTCAAAATTCTCAGAATCAAGAAATGGATTCAGACTCTGTTCGTCGTTCTGTTTCTGTTCAGCTCCCGGTTATCGATTTCTCGAACCAAACCCTAAAACCAGGAAGCTCAAAGTGGGATGAAGTGAAGGCTGATGTCCGAAAAGCTCTAGAAGACTACGGGTGTTTCGAAGCTTCCTTTGACAAAGTGTCAGTGGAGCTTAAGAAGTCTGTTTTTGAAGCTATGGAAGAGCTTTTCGAGTTGCCGATTCAGACCAAACAGAGAAACGTGTCTTCAAAACCCTTCCATGGATATCTTTGTCATAATCTTTACCAGAGTTTGGGGATCGATGATGCTAATGTTTTGGAGAAAGTCGATGACTTTACTCAACAGTTATGGCCTGATCATGGGAACAAGAGTATTAGGTATGAATGTGACAAGTCAATCATTTAGGCCTTTTATGTGCAATTAAAGAAATTTAGTTTTTTTTTTTTTTATTCTTCTGTTTTCTTTAAGAAAATAATACGCATTACATTTATATTTTGCGTTTGAAACATTTTTGTGTTTGGAACAGTGAGACGATACATCGGGTTTCGGAGCAATTAGTGGAATTGGATGTGATGGTGAGAAGAATGATAATGGAGAGCTTTGGGATAGAAAAATACATTGATGAATATCTGAATTCTACAAATTACCTTATGCGATTTATGAAGTATACATCACCTCCTGATGATGATGATGAGGAAACTAAGTTAGGTTTACGCTCTCATACCGATAAAAACATCATCACGATCCTTCATCAGTATCAAGTTGATGGTTTGGAAGTGAAGACTAAAGACGATAAATGGATCAAAGTGAAACCATCTCAAGATTCTGTCCTTATTATGGTTGGAGATTCTCTATCCGTAAGTCCTAAATAACATTTCTTGCACACACACACTTCTTAATTGAAGAACAATCAGTCATATACTTGTAACTTGTTGATGTTGCAGGCACTTTTGAATGGTCGATTGCCTTCTCCGTATCACCGAGTCATAATGATGGGAAAAAAGACAAGGTATTCGACTGGACTGTTTTCAATTCCAAAAACAGGAGTTATCATAGATTCACCAGAAGAACTTGTCGACGAAGAGCATCCACGTATATTCAATCCCTTTGAGTATAAAGATTTTCTTCACTTCTTTCACACAGAAGCTGGACGTAGAGCACAATCAGCTCTCCATGCTTTCGCTGCCCTCTGAACCACTAGACTTGAATCAGAATTTTGTATGAATGTGTATATTCGTGTCTTTTGTGTTGTAGTTCTAACAATCCAAAAAACAAATTTATGTTCTAAATTTATGCAATATGTTTCCACATGCGTATGTAGACACACGAGATGCACAGGAGAAATATAACTTATCTCACTAAGAGTTTTTTTAGTAAAAAAGCAAAGGAGGGAAGAAACCAAAAAAAAAAAAAAAGTACTATACCATTCTCATTCTCTGGTGGTATAGTGGGTTATATTACACATGTGCGGCAGAGTATATGAACACTGCAAATTTTGAAACATAAATCTTACTATACTTGTATAGAGTTTACCAAAATCCAATAATTGTTGACTTCATGAACTGGAAGCAGAAACCGGGAATGCAATCAGGTTCAAATGTATGCAAGCGAGCTTCTGTCAAAATCTGGTTGTGGCCTGCCTCGTGTCGGAGTTGGCGGTCTTTGGATGTTCAGCTCCTGCAAAAGATAAATTGTGTGCTTTTAGGTTCAGTGTCTGGTTCGTAGCTAAAAAAAAAGATATAGGTACACACTCTCCTATCTGTTTTTCTACGCAAAAGTGAAGATTTTTGGAGACTTTATTGGTATAAGTAAATACATAACTACTAACTAAGAGCGAGTTGCTCAGTTTGTGGCTGAAACAAAGACATCATGTTACACTTGTACATGCTAGGAAATTGTCTTTTATTGTTCCAGAACTATATGTGCTTCCGGTTTAGGCCAAATGTTTCTAGGAACAAGAAAAAGACAGTCTCTTACACTAAGGTCAGGTTACCCGTGGCTGAAACAAGTTTCAAGTTTTTTGTTTTGGAGAATGTGTTCTAACTAGATTTTACCCCGCGGTACACCGCGGATCGATTTTTTTATAACTAAAAAATTATTTAGCAAAATTTTAAGTTGTATTTGTTTTGTTAATATTGTTTATTTTGTTTAGTATTTCTGATTTTATAATTAAATTTTGATTTTTAATTCTAAGATTTCATCCATAGTATATTGTTTAATAATTAATATCGATCTAAACCCGTTGCACCATATAACCCCGTCCCGTAAAATTAAACATCATTTGTTATTTTTTTAAAATAATATTTTTATCCACTACGGGTTGCAGGTTCATGCGGATAAGCCCGTAGAGAGTTGCGGGTTTGCGTGTCGACCCGCCAAAAGAGAAGCTATCTTTTGAAACATTTTGTTTTATTTAGAGGTTTTGAGAGAGTATCCCTAAAAAATAATTTTCATTATATGAAAAAAAAAAAGTAGAAGAAATTGTAATATCAACATTCCCGATTTTTACATCACTCGTTACTATTAATTTTTTTCTTTTTTGCAGATAAAAATCAGAAGTTAACTAAGTCGAGATTTTTAAAAAGATTGTGTAGAGATTTTTGGTAAATTGTTGAGAACATATTTGATTTCAAAATCTTTACTTAAATAAATAAGGAAAGATTTTGTAGAGACTTTTGCTAAATATATGAGAAATGAATTTCATTTAAAAATCTTTACTTAAATAAAACAAATCTAAATAATTAATGCTAATGGCATGTCATTGTAAATACTTCATAACTTCAGGATTTATTTGCTAATTGTGATCCAAAAATGTATATATAGACTAAATATATGAGAAATGAATTTCATTTAAAAATCTTTATTTAAATAAAACAAATCTAAATAATTAATGTTAATGGCATGCTATTGTAAATACTTCTTAACTTCAGGATTTATTTGCTAATTGTGATCCAAAAATGTATATATAGATGATGGTAGTAAAAGAGTTGATGTATGGATTTGAAGTAATTTGGAACAGAAGTAGTAGTAAGATTATTGTTACCTGCATCCAAGCGTCGTCTCCAGAATGTTCTGGAGAATTCTCTGGAGATAAGATGGGAGGTGGAAGAGGATGAATTAACTTAGGCACAATCACCAATCCTCTGCCAACCACCAATATAGCTCCCGCATTGTTCGCAGTTCCTGTTTAACAGAGTATCACAATGTTTTATTTCTTCATGTTTTGCCTATCCAAGAATACAAACATAGATACAAGATGAAGTTTTTTTGACGGGTTTTGTTTCTCCTAACCGCAGTAATTTGTGGCGGAGAAAAGCGTGATCAACTGTCCCTGTGCAAATCTTTCGAATCCATCCATTACACATTCATGGGCCCTGATAATTAACTGCAGTTTATTCTTCTTACAGAATTCTGTTACTCTATCAGGCTGCAATATCAAGATTACGCCCTCAGTGATTGGCTCCCAAAATAATATTAATAAGAAACGACTAAGAGCGAATAAAAGGGGTATTTTACCCCAAACGTGACAAGACCAGGTCCTCTGGCGTTTGGTCTTAAACCCTCAATACTATCGTTCTCTGTAGGATCAGACCTGTACTTCAAAAAACGTCATTAACTCAGGGATATAAGAAATAGTGATTGATATGAAAGCAGGACCAGAAAGGATGGATTACCATAATAAATCCATAAGAACAAGGGATCCAGCATCCATTGTTATGGGCCTTTCGATCTTCTCAATCTGTTCCACTGTACTGATTGACCTCCCAATTCCACCATGCATACATATAATTTTATTCTCGATTAGAGCAGCGAGAGGAAGATAATTAAAAAGTTGATTAAATCTTGTCCACGCCCAGATGCCATCGTTCTCTCCCTGGTAGAAGTACAGAGCAGGCTTAGTCTACGCAGAAAAGCTAGCGACAAACACGATGAATATTTCTGCAGAGAGGCATGTACCATTCTTTCTATGCATTCAAGACGGAAACCAAATAGTGCATTTATGTCAGCAGCCTCGTGATTTCCACGAATCAAGTGAACATTCTCCGGATATTCAATCTGCACAGGAATATCTAAGAACCATAAAACCAAAAAGCACAATTTGAATGACACTAGTAATATGGGTGATGTGAAATTAGGCACCATCTTGCCTTCAATGCAAGCAGCAAAGTTATAGTCTCCAGGCTGTGTTGTCCTCGGTCAACGTAATCTCCCAAAAATAAATAGTCAATATACCTGAGGCAAACACGTTTAGTTTAATAGTTCAGTGACTATTTTTTTAGTAAAACTCCACAACGTTCAATCGATTTCTTAAACTTACGTGATGTCTCCAGCTGTTGAGGGAAATCCATATTCATCAAATAAACGCATTAAATCGCCAAATTGCCCATGGAGATCGCCAAAGACTTTGATAGGAGCTTTTAGCTGAAGAACTGTTTGTTCATGCATAAATATTTGTTCGGCAGCATAACAGAGTTCCCCAACTTCGTAAGAATCCAAGAAAAACTTCCTATTGCCAGGAGGTTTCCAGTTTCGAGGTCTCAACAAAGCAGCAATGACCTGCAAGCAACAACATATTAGTAGAGATAGTAAGAGTGACTGTGTCCAGGAAAATGAGAAGATTGCAGAAGAATGATACCTTTTTATGTAGGCCTTGCGGAGACTTCTGTCTCGTGAACTTCTTGGTAGGTTGTGGCACATCGCTATTATTCATGGGAACCATCCGCCGGCTCTCATTCTGAAACTGATCCAAGCTTAGCTGTCTTACCATGCCGCCCAGACTGCCAACCGTCTCTTTTGCTACCACAACCTATCAAATGAGATAATTCGGTAATCAAATACGCAAAAGACTAGGTTGGGAAGTATTTCAAACTAAGCAGCCAATATGTCCAAGGCATGAAACAAAGAGAGAAATGTATAATATTATTAGGGATTAACATACAGCTCTCGGATGAAGCCTGACATCTCCTTCATTTGCAATATCATCAGTAGTAGTTTCTACAGTTGGCGAGCTGGCATCAGAGGTAGAGGGTTCTTCATCCAGAGTACCAGATCCTAGTTGTGCAGCTCGCCAAACAGAACTAGCTACCTCTGCTTCAGCTGCAGAAGCCTCCGTCAATTTCTCCAATGAATTTTCATCCAAGCTGATATTGTTAAGGAGAAAAGTAAGATAAGTCATGCTCAAACAACTAGACACGGTTAACCACAAACTAAGAGGGTAGGAAATGGGATAGACCTCAGTCCCTCAGACATGGCAAAGGTTGGTTCAGAGCCTGAAGGAGGTCGTGCGGCATAAGAAAACCTGGGAGTTGAACTTTGTTGGGTTCTATCTGATGCTAGCAAAGGAGAACTGATGTCTGACTGGAATGTTGAATTTTCAGCAACTAGAAAATCGTCAAGTAACACATCTGTGCGGAAATAAAATTACCGTAATCGTCATACTCTGAGAAAAAGATAGATGACTTGAGACATAAAAAATAACTACAAGAGATGTAAGTGTACCATAAAAACTTCCTAAGATTCAACTTGACATATTTTATGAAACGTGAAACTACGGAACTAATGTATATGTACTGCAATAAACTTAGGCATCTTGTTGTACAAAAGGAAAATTATCAGCCTTACCTCCTCTTAGACCACCATGCACATAGATCCGGATGCCAACTGATGCGGCACCATGGCGACAGCGTCGCATAAGTTCAAAAGACGGATCTTGATCGATTTGTCCCTTAATTCCGCGTGCAGAAGTAACTTGCCCATTTCTATCCAACCATACACCGGCAGCAGTATCAAGCACTGCGAGAAAATAGATTCCATATCAAGATCAAAAATCGAGAGGAGGGAGTAAAACCTGCGAGAATTAGCTGACCATCATTATTACCTGCAACAGATGCTTCAGCGTCTATTACACGGCCTCCTCTCAGCACACCACCACTGACATGTAATCTTGCACCTACAAAAACCTGATAAGAAAAGCAATTAAGGAACTCATTGCAATGGCTGGAATTAGAGCATGGTATTGTAAATGAAATAAAATGCTTCATCAATCATTTCATAATAGAAGAAAAACAACAGTCAACTCAGTTTCTAAAGCTACAATGTGCAGTCCTCTGTGATACTAGTATTAGTCAACGCTTCAGAAGTTTTTTTCCATATTTTTCGAAATTAGAGCAAGATTTGGTTTACCGCTGCGTGTTGATATCTTGGAGAAGGAGCTACACCTGGAGCCAGCGTCCACTCCCACTGACCATTTCTATGCATTAGCAGCCCATAAGCATCTCCCAAAGGCTGCAGACACACAAATACATAAGAGAATATACCAGCATTCATAAAAAAGATTGAAAACATAATATCTTAAAATTTGGATCTCATAGCAAAATAAGCAAAGCTCTGGATTCGAGATTTCTGTAACTTATCTGGTCCTATCCTGGAAAAAAAAGGAGTCTACTAATTTCTGCACAAGAGATTAATGGAGAAAAAAAGTATACCGCTCCCAAGGTGTCTCTTCCCCCGCAGAGCAAAAACATGCCATCAGAACGAGCACTGCCAGAAGCATACCTATGCACAAAAAATCAAAATATGAAAATTCAGTTGAAGAATTAGCCGTTCTACAATAGCCATTAAAATCAACTTAATCACTAACATTCTAGCACTTGGCCGGTCACCATCTGGGTTCAATCTCTGCCATACATATGGTTTCTGAGCTGTATCCAGGGCCCAAGCGTCAGAAAGAGCTCGTTTCCCTGTTCCATACACAGATGGACACATTTTTGTTAGGATATGTGGATTCTTTAAGAAATAAACAGAATAATGACTAACATTTCCATATAAAAACCAAAAATAATGAAACAGACGTATTCTTACCATCATTTCCGGTGACTGTAACAAGATATCTCTGAGAAACTAAATCCATAACATGGCCATAGCGAGGGCCTGGACCATCCCCTTGAACCACCACCCTGAACACGCATTAAATGAAATAATTCTGACATCAATAAAACAGATTGCAAAGAGCGACAGGAACTAGGAAATTTATAAAGAGTCTCTTACCTGTGCCACTTGAACTTATCATTAGTCATGTCAAGAACGTAAAGATCATCAGTAGAATGCCCCGCTGGGCCAATGCCACCCTGTTAATTAGACAAACATAAGTATGTGTCATACATGGACAATGACAATTGACCAAAAGCCTATCACATGAACCAATAAACGGTCAGAATGATCTATAAATAACCTGAAAAACGACCATGGTGCCAACTGCAGCTGCGGCGTGAGCAGCTCTAGGAGACGGAGGCTCACCAGCCGGTTTAAGCCTGCACAAATCCAGAAATTGACAAGGCAAGTCTCCATCAAACCAACGTGGATTTGCAAGAAAACAATAAACCAAAGAACAAAATCTTAACACTAAAGACAATGTCTCTTTTACCTTGTCCACTTCCTAGTGAGAACATCATAAGAATGCACCGAATTGGTAACACCAGCTAACCCTAGAAAACAGAACAACCACAGAAGAAGCATCAGGCAACTCCAGATCAAACCGAAAGAAATATTTCGAAATTAAAATTCAATCAAGGATACTTACTGATCCCAGGAACTGAAGAACTTCCGCCCTCAATAGCGGTGGCGCCGCCGAAGAGTATAAGTCGAGGACCGTGAGTCTTAGTAGCTGCAACGGCGGTAAGTGTATGAGCGCATCTAGGACCAGGAGCATCGTCTTCATCATCCCAAAAGGTTTCTAGGGTTTTATACTGAGGAGCTGGATGTAGCCACGGTTTCGAGCCCATGGAAACCACTTTACGCGTATAAATCGATCCCGCAACAGCCAAAAATGAACCAGAGAACCAGAGAATTGAGAAAACGAAACCTAGAAAGCGAATCAAAGACGGAAAGACTCGGCACTGATGAAAGGACTAGGTAGAAACTTCAGATCGGAAGAGTAAGACTTCACGGCGGACAACGGTGGCGAGTTACGACGGACGGACTCTGTCTTCTCCCCAAGTAAACCTTTCTTTTTTCAGAGACTATTTTTTTTTTTTTTTGAATTAAAAGAGAAGAAAAAAAATAAAAAATAAAATGTTTGCTTCGCCGAGATTTGGAGGACACAGTTTTCTTCGGATAGAAAAGGAAAAGGCGTTTCCGCTGAGCTGTACTTTTAGTCTTCTTCTTTAGTCAACGGCTGTATATGCGCGTGAATTGTCGAGAGTACCCTGAATCTCTTCTTTTTTGATTACTCAAATACTTTGTAAATTTGAATCTCTCGAAATTTAATTAAACAATTCTAAGAAAAGCATTTCTTTTCTAACACTTATCGAAACTTTGGAGTTTGAATTTTCTTTTAAAAGAACATTCTAATTCTATACACTTTTTCAAAAGAATTTAATTGAATAATCTGTAAGTTGTAGCCTTTTTGGGTAATTTATCCAAACTGTTCAAATAATCTTTAGCCTTATGGAATTCATTGTCCAAAGCTTTAAATTGATTTCTTCTTAGATTTACTATCATTTATCTTCCTTAAATCACGAAAAATATTTGTTTATTTCTTTAAATAGCATTAAGTCAACTAAGTGAGATAAAAAGTCAAACTCTTCCTTCTGTTATTATCTTCACTATTTACTCTCAAAGTCTCAGCCTTTGCCTGTAAATAACCAGAGAGTGAGTGAGTGATACAGAGAGATAGACAAAAGCCCATAAAACAGAGAATCTTTCAAATTAAGGACCAATAGAGAATCCCTAAACAGTTAAAAAAAAAAACATCCTACTAATCAAATTCAATGCAACTGAGTCTAACTCTAATACTGAAGCTTATTCACATCCCAAGCCACTCTCATAACTCCAAACCTCGAATTCGCCTCTGTGAAAGTCCTTCCAACATCATCAGATCCATAAGGGATCATCTTTTTGCTCCAATCATATGACTCACTAAGCTCCGTTACATCAACTACACAAATCTGTCTTGTCTCCAGGCTTAAACCGTACCATTCACCGTCTGTTCTCAACACCATTCCTTTCCCTATCTCGTCTCCTCTCTCGTCCATAAGCCTCACTTGTTGCCCTTGCTTTATCCCTTCTTCTGATGATGACGATGATCTCAACAGATTCTCTCCTGTTTTCGGGGTTTTAGATGCAGTCTGATCTTTATATGGTGTTGATGGTTTCTGCTGCCAAGTGTTTTCATCTCCAGGGCTCTCCGGTAATTCCCCTGAGCTGTTATTGTCACGAACTGTCCCCGTTTGCTTGTTTGCTCGAGCTAGTTTCGCTTTTCGGTTATTCAGCCTGAGAATAAACTATCAATGTCAGATAACGTATTGTGATTACGATTCTCTTTGCAGTTGACAGAGAGGAAAACAAAAAAGCAAGTACCAGTTTTTCAGCTGCGAAGATGTAATAACCTCCGGACCCTGCAAAATCGCGTAATCAACAAGTGCATCGTTCGTAATACCTGTTGGAAATTAAAAAGAGTAGAATTCTTGAACTCACCTTCTGACTTAATTTATCAGCCCATAACTGTATCGAAGCTGAATTCCGCTGCATATCAGGTTCATCAGCAAGCGCCTTCTCGATCATCCCCGTTTGATCATCATTCATAATACTACGCTTCCGTTTCGTCCTCTGCTTCTCAAAGACAAGGAAGGTTTCAGATTTCTCATCCTCCTTCACCTCTCCTGACGCACTGCCTTTAAACCGCTTGCTCATATTCTGAACCAACTCTCCATCTTCAACCAGACCCTTCCCTCTGTTAGAGCTTGTATCTGAACCACTGGTTTCAAGATTGCTCGCATCTGCATCGCTTTCTTTCAACCGTTCAACTGTGTCCACCTCCTCGTTCACGCCTTGCTTTGTTATCATACCTTCAACTCGGACATCACAATTCTCTGAAGCTTCCTCATTGTTAAGATTCAGAATCTCTTTTCTCTGCTGCTTACCAGATAAATTCCCTCCCGTACCTTCAATATCCTAGAACAAACATAACATTTGAAGGTTAGAAAAAAACCTGTCTTTCGTATAAATTCAACATACGATGGACATTAGTAAAGCCATGTTATAGCTACTTGTATCAGTGTAACAAAACAGATAATCTTAAACAAAACAAGATCACTGTAAAAGCAATGTAGAAGAGAGCAAAAAGCTTTTTCACCTTCACCTGTACTTGACTTTCCTCAAATTCGGAATGGATTAGCGGTTGCAACTGGTCACAAAACACCCTGCACAAGACAATATCCCGAAAAAATGGCTACATAAAATAGCACATCTAGAGAACTATAAATCTTTAATATAGTCATCGGTGAAAAGTACAATGACTGAAGAGGCTTTCTGTTACCTCAAAAGCAGGAAATCTTCCTCATTGAGGGAACTAGGGATTAAGGATTCTGCATGGCGCAACAGAGAACCTACATATACAAATATCCATCAAAACAAAATCGCCAAAACATGTGTATATGAAAAATAATATATGTATCTCGGGATAGAGATACATACCTAGGTTTCTGCAAACACCAGTGCCTCTCTGTGCCACTGGAGTATATGAAGAGCCTGGTAACATCTTAATCAATATGCTTGAAGGATCTTTTCGCAATCCACTCATAACATTCTGAATGAAACGGTTCCTATCCTGTTCTGCAGAGATATTAACAGCGAATACACTTAGTAACAAACGAAGGTAAACCGAAGATATGATACAGGAAAATGAAGAAGATAGTGACGGGAAAAAAAAATCACCTTCGCAGACGTTGGGAACGAAACAGTGAAGATTCGCGATCATTTTAATAAATAAGGATGTTCGTTGGTGTGCATATGAAGACATGGTAAGGTTATTTTGTAAACTGAGCTTGAATTGAGGTGTGACTGATTGCCCAGAAGATGAAAATATACTTAAAACCCATCCGGCTGACTTAAACAGATCGTAATCAACATTCGCATCATCCTCCCTTGAAGAAAGATCAGAAGAGCACAACATTGACAAGAAATCTCCATGAGAGAGACAAAATACCGCACTGAGAACCATGCTCTGGAGAAAGATTGAACATCCGTCACACATCAAATTACAGAATTTCAGTAGCGCAATTAATTTATAACCAGACCAACGACAGCCCATAAATTGTATGAATCATATGTGCCAAAACAATAAATAAAACAAAAGACTTTAGCAGAGGCAGGAATAATTGGATACTTACAAAATGTTCAGTGAAAAAAGATCGAAAATTTGAGTCATCCGTGAGCACGTCAGCCAAGCGCATAGCGTTAAGTAGCACAAAACCCATCGGGTAGTCAGGAGAAGCAGTAGCCATGGAAGCTTTAGAAAGGCCAAGCCTCAGTAATTTAAGAACCTAGATTGCAGATATATCATCACTGAATAAGTCAACACTAACTTCACAAAGATAAACTTTCCGGGAGAGAATTGAGGAACAGAAACTACAAAATGTCAATTTAACAACATATGCCATTTAGGAAACTGTAGGTTTAGACTATAGAGCAGAGCTGATTATCACTAAGCCAACTTGAGGTTTGTTCTATGACTAGTTACAACATATAGAAACCAGTAATCTCCATAAATAGCAGTGTCACCCAGTGCTAAACCTTTCAAATCAAGAAGGAAAACGTCCTATCGATTTTAGAGCAGAGCCCCTTATTAGGACTAACCTCTGAGGCAATAGTTTTGGCTAGTTGCAAGTTTCCTGCATTTGCAACCTCGTCAAGGAATGAGACACTTTCCGCCTCAAACAAATGCTGCAACTGCAGGAACATGAACTTTGGTATGAGTAGCAGACAGTAAATAGAGAAAAACTTTGCTAAATGTCAATAGACTTACAATTGAAAGGACTTTTGCTTTCATTCTAGACGTGGAAGCTATAGTTATGGTTGCTCCAACAAATTCAGGTGTAATAGCTAGTGACAGTATGGATTGAGCTAGCCTAAGAACGCCGCCTTTTCCACATAGCTCCTGAAAGAAGAGTACCAGAAAACCTAATTCTGAGATTCGTCCTCCACAAAATTATCAATTTAGCAAAACAAATTATTAACAACTCGTGATTAATATACAAGAGACTAGTTAATCTAAAATTGATGCATCAAACACCAAGCATTAGAGAAACCTTGTTTTTAGCGACACGGTCTCTAAACGGTTTGTGTTGGCATAGAGAATGAAGGAACTGCAAAGCAGCTTCAGCTTGTTGGCAGTGGAAGTTGACCTCCTCTACAGAACTTGCACCTAACCTTTTTGGGGAGTCAGTTTGTCGATACAGCAACTTTGCTTTCAAAGATATCACAACATTGAGGACAGCTCCAAAAGCACTGTCTATAAACACATCAACCTAGATGAGAAAAACAAGAATCAGATCAAACTTGTCCCAAGGCAGCAGAACCCAGGTCTCAAAGCACAAGCGTAATTCTCTTATTTTCCAATGATATATCCTTTCCTAATATTGGCATTTCAAGCACATTATGATAAAGGGCATTGATTCATACCCTTGGGTGGGCAAGCAAGACGAGAACAAGATCTTGGGAGTTAGGAGAGATAAACCCGTGAAACAGGTGGAGACAAGAAGCCACCAATGTAGCCTCTAGTAACGATTCTTTATTCGAATTGCAGCTTTCCTTGAAACAAGCAACAGACATGAAATTACAGATCCAAAGAGAAACAGGAATAGACACAAAGAGGATTTTACAGAAAAGAACCTTTCTGTTACGGCCAAGAGCTATTATCACAATAATCACCAGATCAATCATCTGTGCTGATAATTTCACATCGTCAAGCAAGACCTATCACAAATATGCAAACAAAAAAGAATCAACCATATTCCTAAATACTGTTCCTTAGAGACATTAATTCCAATTCTTCAAAAGCTCAAAGACACATATGAAGATGGGAAAACCTGCTCGAGTTTCGCGTTACGAGGTGTTAAGTCGCACAACGTCTGCAACAGTCTGATCCCACACAATATATATCGAGACTTTCCATCTTTATTAGGAGTCATAACCACCGCAATGAGGTGCCGAGGTAACATTTTCACCATTTTCTCTACACTAATCTGAAAGAAACCCAAAAATCAGTACTTTACTACAAATGAAGAGAAAAAAACTGAAAAATCAAATCAAGTTTATTTGCACCTTTTGTGGTAACCCTTGATCAGAGTTAAAGCAAATAGAGAAATCTCCATTATCTTTAAGCAGCTTATGAAATTCCACAGAGTTTCGCCAATGCAAAGCATTCACAGCTTGTACCATGTGTTTAGGCTGCAACAATCGAACCATGATTGTCACTAATATACGCAACAGTGACTGAATCTAATTTCCGGTGAATGGAGAGCAATCAGCGACTAGAATTTTGTGCCGCCGTGAATTATAGCGTTAGGTTATATGGTAGAGAAGAAGATAAGAAAAACTAAATGTATGGGGAAGAAGCAGTGAAATCTATCTTCAGGATTTGGTGGCATAACGGTATATATGTAAAAAGAATGAGGTTAATTTCTAGATATGTGGACACTGAGTCTCTCTCTCTCTCTGTCATAGAAGGATGACTCCAGCTATAGCTTATCGGATTATTTGGTCCAGCGACGATTTCAAACCCTAACATTTTCTTTCCAAATGTCGAAACGATGAAGACAATCACGTGAGAGTACACGTGACTTCTTTTCTTTGGGTCTAAGTCGTTTAATCAAAGCCCAACACAGCTTTTTCTTTTTAAAAAAGCCCAAATTAAGCAAAACGAATAACAACACTATACATGGATGGTGAAACGAACAAAGTCACTTTAAAACTCGTGAAGATTTATTTCACCAATTGATCAACTAGTACTATCAAAATAGTAAAGCATTGAGCTTTTAGAAGAAAAATACTTACTTTATCATCGTATTTTGTCGATGGCGCTTTTGTTTCAGATATACATTTCGATGTTGATGGCGCTTTTGTTTCAGAAATACAGTTTGATGATGATGCTTTTCTTTCAAATCTAGACATTGACGTGTTTTTCTTCGATCAATAGATACTAATGGTGATGCTTTTCTATCATATCGTTTCTTGTTAGACGGGTCTAGAAACAAAAGTATATCAAAAAAAAATCAAAACTTGTTAGTAAATTAAGAAAATTAAGATCAAATCTTGACTTCAACATTTAGATTTTGCATGCCAATTTCAAACACCATATATATGATTAATAAACCCAAAATTAAGATATTTTGGATGCCTAAATCTGAATGTGAGTGATAAAACCTTAGATCTGATCCATTTCTACATGCTAGAACATTTAATAACCTTTTTTTTGTTTTTTTTTGTCAAACGAACATTTAATAACCTTCTACCACTTATTACCAACCACATAAATTTTTAACTCTATAATGATTTATTTATTTAAATTTGAGGTCCATCAAATATATATGTCGCTTAGATAATCTAAAGAGTCTAAACATATGTTTTACAACACATGATTTGAATTTTAAAGAAAATTTCATGGCGGAAAAAATCTTAATGCTTGGCTGATTTTTACACTACTCCTATCAGAAAAATGATAAACATATCTTTTAAATTCGGTAAGATATCAAAAACATATATTTCGTAAAGATCTAATTGGTGAAAATAGTTTCAGTTCAATCTAAATTGAAAGGAAATCGACTCACCTGAAACAAATTTCTCGGAGGCGGCTTTCATCGCACAATATGCAACAAGAACCCTAGCGACGAAAGACTTAAAACTTTTTTTTATGTGTGTTAATTGTATACTTATCATATATATTGTTAAACCGGTTTTGTTAATAAATTTTTGGTTCACCATTTTCAGTAAGGGTAGAAAAGGAAAAGAGAAAATCTGCATATCCAAGTATGTTATCTAATTGGTCATTACATTACAAACCAAGAAAATTTCTCCCAACAATACATTTATATAAAAAAAATATACTCTCTCTGTTTTTTAAAAGTTGTCGTTTTAACTGTATTTGGACAAATTAAGAAAATGTATACAATGACTATATTAACCTCATAAAAATGACAAGTAATTATTTACAAATAATTTGTGTTCAATAAAATGAGGGTAATTTGGGTAGTTATTGGCATAAATTACATTATTACCTTAAAACGACAACTAATTTAAAACAAAAAAAAGCTCTAAAACGACAACTATTCAAAAACGGAGGGAGTAGTTTTTTTTAACCAAAAAATAATCGTTTATTGTTATAAAAAGGAATTAGTAGCAACAAAAAAAAAAGAAGATTTTTTTCAGTATTTGATATCAACTTATATTTATAGTCTTTTTTTGGTTAATGAAATTTGTTTTATAATGAAGTGAATTTATCAATTTGACAAAGATAAACAAAAAAAATCCAGAAGATCCGTAAATGAAATGCCACGTCAACAACCAAGAACCAATTAAAGAGAAGTTCTTTGGAGTAAAACGTGATTCCAATAAAAGCCATACTATTAGATAAATAATAGCCCTAGAGGGAGATAATTTTGAAATGAGTGGACCGTTGGTTTGAAATCCAACCAAAAAGACAAAATTCAAAACCAATATATATTCAATAAAATAAAACCAAAAGAATAAAAAAAAAAGAGAAAACCTTTTCGAGAATTTCAAAAATCAAATTCACTTCCAAAGAGAGAGAAGAAGAAGAAGAAGAAGAAGAAGAAGCACAAGTCCAGAGAGAGAGAGAGAAGCTGCGAAATTTCTTCATCTAATGACGGGGCTTGTGATGATGACTAAAGGCGGAGGTTGCGGCGGAGGAAAAGGAGGAAGGAGAAAATCTACGGCGGAGGAAGAAGAAGAAGAAGAGCAGAATCAGCAACAACTGTCTCTTGTCGAGTTTCTCTTAACGGCGCTGCGTAAATCGGTAGTATCTTGCCGTGTAGACAACAGACAAGACGACGGCGGAGGGATTTCCTCCGCCGTTCATCACATGGAGATTGGTTGGCCAACAAATGTTCGACACATCACTCATGTAACATTCGATCGATTCCATGGCTTTCTTGGTCTCCCTCACGAGCTTCAAGTTGAGATCCCATGTCGAGTCCCTAGCGCAAGGTATCAAATCAAAGATCTCTCTCAATTTCTCTGTTGCTTCAAAATCTGAAACTGGATCTGCAGTTATAGATTCTTAATTAATGGTTCTTAATTGGAACTTTAGGTTTCAAAATACTAAAAGCTTAGATATAAATGCAGTGTGAGCGTGTTTGGTGTATCGGCGGAATCGATGCAATGTTCTTATGACGAGAAAGGAAACAGTGTTCCAACTATTCTATTACTTATGCAGGAGAGACTATACTCTCAAGAAGGTCTCAAGGTAATGGAAATGGGAATCAAAATTAAGAATTTTTAAGAGTAGATTGAATTGATATGTATACCTTTTTTTGTGTAGGCTGAAGGAATTTTCAGGATAAACCCTGAGAATAGTCAAGAGGAACATGTAAGAGATCAACTAAACAGAGGTATTGTACCTGAGAATATTGATGTGCATTGTTTGGCTGGTCTTATTAAAGCTTGGTTTAGAGAGTTACCTTGTGGAGTGCTTGACGGTCTTTCTCCTGAGGAAGTTCTCAATTGCAACACCGAGGACGAATCCGTTGAACTCATTAAGCAGTTGAAGCCAACTGAGTCTGCTTTGCTTAATTGGGCTGTTGATCTTATGGCTGATGTTGTTGAAGAAGAAGAGTCTAACAAAATGAATGCAAGGAATATAGCCATGGTTTTTGCTCCTAATATGACTCAGGTAAAACCACACCTAACCTTGTTCAATTACGCTTAGTGTTTTATAAGAATCACTGAAAACTTACTAACGTTTGATTCTTGCGTTCTCTAACTATAGATGACAGATCCATTAACGGCTCTTATGCATGCTGTTCAAGTGATGAACTTGCTTAAGACTCTCATCACAAAAACACTAGCTGAACGCGAAGAAACTGCTACCGGATCAGAAGGATATTCTCCATCCCACTCATCCAATTCCCAAACTGATTCTGATTCTGACAATGCACAAGACATGGAAGTCAGCGGTGAATCACAAGGCACAGATTCCGAATGCGGAGAAGAAGAAGAAGAGGTAGAACAGCAACAAGAACATCTCAGCCGCCACTCTACCCACGCAGATGAACACGATATTGGATCATTAAGCTCAATAGAGAAATGCTTCTTGAGTCAGCTCAACAACAACGCTAGAGTTTCAAACACCAGTACCACTGAAGACTGGAGCCCTAAAGCATCTCCGCTAGTATCATTCACAGAGAACAAAAACAACACTTTGAGCTCAAGCACAAGCGACTAAGATGAAGAAGCAATCAATGATCGTCTTAAAGCCTGATCTGCGTTTCCCACGCTTTCACCGGTGACAAACTCATTTTTATGTAGCTTTACTTTGGTTTTCTGTTCAATCTGCTGCAGAGAACAAACAAGAAGGAAGAAAACTGGTTGTGTCTGTAAATCAATACAGAGATTATTGTCCAATTTGTTAGGGTCTTTAGGGATTGTTGGTGAGAGGTCTGATTTTAGGGTTCAATAAGGGCTGAACCTGTCTGTGTTGACTGTTGTTGTAGTACCTCTTCATGTTTGTGTCTGTCTGTTTGTGTTTGTTGTGATGTTTGGTTTTGTAGCAAGATAATCTGATATTTCTCTTTGATATTTGAACAACACTGAATCTTTCTTCTAAACTCTAAAGACAAACAACAGATCATAAAAGAAAATGATAGAAGAAAAATTCAATGAATTTAATGTTAATAAATCATAAAATTTCTACATGAATTTCAATAATACACATAAATTACAAATTGTTATTTGCAGGAAAAAAAAAAAAAAAATTGAGTTGATGGGACATTTTGACCCACAATGAGATTTGGATTTACACAGATGTATCCATTCAAGATCGGTCCAAATCTTTGAACCGGGTCGACCCATTAGCCTGAATATGTTTTTTGTTTTTTTTTTTTCTGTTATGAACTTTCAAGTTGAAGAGAGGAGTTTTAGCCTTTTAGGAGATTAAGGAAGGCTGTTGGCCATTGTTGTTGTCTCTCTTAAGTTGGACTTTCAATTTCTTACCACCTAAATGGCGACCATTCATCACGTCAATAGCGTTCTGCGCGGCTGCTTGTGAGTCGTAACTAACAAAACCTGCAACCAACAGCAACAACAAAAGAATGCATTCTTTCTACCTTCACAATGAACCAGTTTTAAAAGAGGAAAAACCAGACAAATAGAGAGCTTACCGAAACATTTGCTTACACCAGTAGCTTTGTCTACAAAAACCTTGGCACTCAGAACAATACCGAAAGATTGAAATGCAGCCGCGAGTTCTTGATCCCCAAACTCCCGAGGTATATTATAGATAAACAGATTTGCACCTTCCGGACCTAAAGAACCAAAATAATGTTTCAGGTCTTAAAGGAATAGGAGAAGAAACTAATAAGATTTAACACTAACCTTCCGTTTGAACCACGGAACTCAAACCAATTCCTAAAGGTGTTGTTGACATGCCACTGTTGGCAATGCCAGGTGATATGGATCCAGGAGAGCTACTTAGAGGGCGAGGACTCACAATTCCTCTGGGATAAGCAAATGGAAAAGGATGACCTCGTACAGCAGGATAACCAGATCCCATGTAGTTAGCAGGAGGCATAGGAAAGTTTCTACGGGCCAAACGAGGTGGCACAGAGTCAGGCGATGTTCCTTGCAATGCATTGTTATTACCTTGGTTTGGTTGTGCAATCATATTGGGAAATGCAGCTTGGTTCTGAATTGGTGGTAGCATGTAACCATAAGTTCCAGGAGGCTGCTATGGAAATAGAAACGAGAATTTTATTATTTACAAGCTTGATGAAGACAAATCTTATAACGCCTGAACTAACAGAGTATTAGGCTCGTTTGCTTACATGATAACCATATCCATTATATGGTGGAACATAACCCATAGGTAATGCTCCAAACAATGAGGGATTTGTTGGATCAGCGTTAGATAATCGAGCGATGTGAGATTGAGCCTTTTGAAGTCTTCTTGTGTGTCTTTCTCGTTCTGTGTCTGCCCATTTGACAACTAAAGGAACAGTCGAACCCTAAGACGAAAACGAAAAAAATAATGATGAAATTTTCACACGACACACAACTCTGTGTTACAAACGGTAAGTTGTCAAACTATCAAAAGACAGTTACCTCCATTTTATGTTTTCCGTTGATGGATTCCATGGCAGAAACAGCTTGTTCTTTTGTCTCATACTTAAGAAAAGCACAGCCTAACAAAAACAACCAAAAAGGTCAAAACTTGATAAAGCATACTAACGAAACCAAAGATCACAGAGATGGATATAACCTTTGCTTGTTTGTTGAGCACCTCTTAGAATCTGTAGATCTTTTATGGTCCCATACTTGGAGAATAAAGATTGAACTTCAGCTTCAGAGACATTCTTTGGAAGCATACCAACAAAGAGCTTATGCTCTGGATTGAAAAATACAGTAAAAATACATCCATCAATTGATGATACAACAATGAAAATGGGTAAAATAGAGCACGAAACAACATATAGAAGCAGTTGAAATCGCGTTACCTAGCCTTTCCAATTCGCCATCTGCATACTTTACTTGCAATAGACTGGACGCCTGAAGAATCATAAAAAAAAAGTTAAATTAGGTAGAGACCTGACAAGGATTTAAGCTTGATAAGATCCTGAAGGTTATCGACAAAAGGCCGAAGAAATATCGAAACAACCATTTTTCAAGATGTTAAAACACACACAGAATTCATCCCAATAAATCACATTCTCATTTTTGCCAAGATTTTTCAGATTTTCATAAGAACAAGGATCAAAACTAACACTTTGCTTCAATTCAAGAGTGAAACAAAAGTGTTTTCTCTTGTATTTACACATTTGATCTAATTCTAGCGATTTCCTAGATAAACCATTGATAGCAGTTTCTTGGGTTCGAAGAAAGAAACCATTTCAAAACAATGTCATACTATTCCAACAAAGCTGACTCTAAAATCGAAAGATTCGATTCTGATTCGGGCAAAGGAAATTGATGTTCACCTAAACAGAAAGAAATGCTTCGTGCAAAACATAAATCGAAATCAGAAATTTGCTAATTCTGGAATCAATCAGAAACCCAAAACAAGTACAATGCAGTTCCAAAAAATCAGATATTAAGAATGATATGTTTTTTAAGAAAACCTCGAGATTCTAAATGATCAAAAAAAATATGTGGGATGTGAAATTCAATAATTAAAAACAAAACAACATCAAATCGCATTCAAGCATCTGAAAGAACAAAAAAAATCCCCAGAAAGAAAGAAATAAAAAATTGTCAGAGAATTAAAAAAAAAAAAACTAACCCCAGGCAATGTCTTCTTGTTATGGCAAGCATTGACCAACTTATCTGCTTCTTCTCTCGATGGACATAGCAGAAAACAACATCCTAAAATCGGAAGATTTAAATCACAAATTAGGGTTTCGAAATTCAAATAAATCTCGACGAATCAAACACCACATTTTCCAATCAAAAAAACTTCAAGAAAAAAAAAATCCCAAAAATCGAAGACAGAGGCGTGAAGAAGAAAAAAGGAAACCTCGAGAGGCGCGTGTAATCTTGTCCTTGATGATATTGACCTCGTCTACGACAGCGAACTCTTGAAACAATGTTAAGAGTTGAGATTCCGACATATGTTTCGGAATTTGTCCGACGAAAAGCTTTACGCTCTCTTCTTCTTCGTTTTTCTCCCTATTCTCCTCCTTCGCTTCCGCCATTGTTGTCTCCGTCTTCTCTCTCTCTCTCTCTTGACAAAAAAATTGTCGTCTTCGTCGTCTTCTCTTTCTCTCCTCTGAGTTTTTTCTCTCTCTATAATTTTTTTTGGTTTCTAAAAATTTATTTATTTAGTTGAAGAAACAAAAAAAGGAAAATCAATTATGGAGGAGAGGATGAAGAAAATGGTGGAATTTGAGGAGTTGGGGAAATTAAATTACATAAAATGTTGACAATAATTGCCCATTCTGTTACTACTATTTACGATATTGCCATTACAGCTGTACAAAGAAGGAAGGAGAAAGCTTTACGATGCGAGGGAACACTTCCGGTTGTTTTGTCTCGTTATGGGAATACAACGTAAATGACGATATTACCCTCCCTTTTTACGCGCGTCTTATTTGTGTTTCTCTTCTTTTTTCTCTCTCTCTATCTGTTTTTTTTTTAAAAAACAATTATTCGAAAAATGTGTATTGTAGTCAAACTTGTATTGTTTTTGTTTCAAAAAGGAAAGCTGTCAATTTTTATAAATAATTAGACAACCAGGATCTAAAAATAAACGAACATTTGATGTTAAAAACAAAAAAAATAATAAAAACGAAGTGTTGGGACTTAAAAAAACAGCCGATCTACGTATAGAATAAAATAATTTAGGTTCATATAATAGGTTAAATGTGTTCAAAATTTAAATTACTTTATTGCGAATTTTGATAAATTTTAAAATAAAAAAGGATGAGAAAGAAATTAATACAGTTTTTCGAACTTTTATTATATGTAGAATATACATATAAAGTTTAACATAGTTTTTAACGATGTCGTATTCAAACACGACAATTTCATTTAAAAGAACCGTTTTATTCTTTTCCTAAAATTAGTCAAAATATTTCATTTGCCAGTCGTCGGATTCTCTTAGCCGTTAGGTTCTACCATTTGTCAGTTTTTCAACAACTACTGATTCATTTCCCATCGTAAACTATTTTAAAAAAAAATCAATTTTTTAATATAAAATTTCATGCAAAAATATATGGGCATCTCATAAATATATTTTTACTTTTTTACTATTATTCTACAATCTTGTTGCCATATGTTTTGAAGGACTTTCTTGTAATTTTTTATAATACGGAAAAAATGAAATTCAATACCGTGTTTTTGAAATTTCTAGTATACAACTATATAAGGAATATACATAAAAATGCATTTTTGACCAATATCATAGTCAACTCCGTCATTTTAAGACAACATATTAATTTTTAGAAACTACTTCTAATATTTTATCTTGAGAAATTGTTAAAAATACCCCTTTTTCAATACCCCTTTTCAAAAATGCCCCCTTTGAGTGTCCATTTTTAAGTTTGCCCTCTTTTAATTTTTAATGACCATTTTACCCTTATTTGAAACAAAATTAGGTCTACAAAATACAAAATATTTTTTGGCGGGAAAAGTGATCCCGCAATTTTCCCGCCAAAACACTTGTAAAAACCTTTAAAAAACCTTGTAAAATTTTCCCGTAAAAATTTTTCCCGCCAAAAAATTTTCCCGCCAAAAAATTTTTTTTGCGGGAAAAGTGATTCCGCAATTTTTTTTGCGAAAATTTTTTGGCGGGAAAATTTTTTGGCGGGAAAAAATTTTACGGGAAAATTTTACAAGGTATTTTAAAGGTTTTACAAATTTTTACAAGTGTTTTGGTGGGAAAAATTGGGGGATCACTTTTCCCGCCAAAAAATATTTTGTATTTTGTGGACCTAATTTTGTTATATTTCCTTATATATTTATAATATCTTTTATTAAAAGAAGGGTAATTTAGTCATTTTGTACATAAAAGGGGTATTTTTAAAAATGGACATCCAAAAGGGGCATTTTTGAAAAGGGGTATTGAAAAAGGGGCATTTTTGTGAGTCTCCCTTTTATCTTTCAGCCGTTGATTTCTATTATCCGTTAGATTATTAGCTACTTCATGTTTTCTTAAAAAAGTATTAATTTATTTTCTATCTTAAAATACCTCAATACATTATTTGTATCTAATCTATATAACAAGTTCACACAAGAATATGTTGGTGTCTCATAATTTTATTTTTACATTTCATATATGTTAATTCTAATTTTATTTTCATCTATTCTAAGTTATTTCAAATTTTGTTTAAAACTTTATATATTAAAAAAAATGAAAAAGATGAAATTCAATATATTATTTTTGAACTTCTTAATATACATTAAACTTTAACATAATTTTTCATGATGTCATATTCAAACTCGATCATTTCATTTATGAGAATTGTTGTTAAAAAAATATGCAAAATACTTCTTTGTTAGTCGTGTAATCTCTCTATCGTTAGGTTCTACTAGTTGCCAGTTTCTCAATAAATATTTACATTTTTCACCTTGCAATACAATATAATGTTTATATCTTTTATATAAAAAATTTGTAAAATGATATATCGACATCTGATAATCATATCTTCACATTTTAGTATTTTTTATTATTTTCATATATTATGAAATATTTTTTGGTTGTTTCTAAATTTTTTTTTATAGACAAAAAATATTCAACAACTTGTTCTCGAAAAAATTAATATACCTGGAAGATATATAATAATTTACAAGATATTTCTAATGATGTTTATTTAACTTTGACATTTTTATTTAAGATAATCATTTTTACCTTTTAAAAAATAGTTAATATAGCTTTATTTTTATTTTTTTATTTTTTTTTTTTTCGTGTCATTAGGTTCATTTAGTTGTTACATTTTATGAGTTATTAGTTTTTCAACAAATATTTATTCATTTATTTAATCTAATCCTGCAACACATTATTTATATTTCATATGTATTAAAGAATTCATGCCAGATTATGTCTCAAAATTGTATTTTAATATTTTTACCTTTTTAATATCATTTTTGTAGACTTGTTTCATAAAATATGATGTACTTAATTAGTTTTTTTTTTGTTACTTTCAATCTTCTGTTTAAAATATTATTTTTAGCATTCATGGAAAATACAAAAATTTTAACATAGTTTTTAACGATATTTTTAGTCAAATTTGACAAATTCATCTATGACAACCATTTCATTTTTTCAAAAATAGATAGTTTACTTATCGAAATATTTACTGGATATGGGAAATATGAATTTGACATTCGTTTTATTTACCAATATCTGCACCAAAGTCTAATAATATACAAAATGCAAAGACAAAACATTATAAAAATTCAATGAAAATTTTGAAAATTGTCTAATAAACAGAGTGGAAACATCGGATATGTAGGACAACCCAAAATCCGTAAAGATGAGAGATCCATAATGTCGTCTTCTACCCAACAAAGATATGCGAAGTATCTCGAGAGGCTCGAAACTCTTTGATCTCCTCCACTCATGAATATGAAAACCGTTTCAACCTCACAAAGACCTCGTAACCTAAGAAACATGAAGTGAAAATCAGAAGAAATGGTTATTCTAAACTACCGCAAAAATTTTTGTAGAAGCAACTATACAGGATCGAATGTCAAAATCTAACATATGTGATATGTTTGTCATCACCGAGATAATAACGAAATCTAAAAAATTTCATAAACATAACAAATATTATAATATAAATAATATGGTTTAATATTTCTCAAAAAACATAAATACCATCTCCAATATTTTATTTCTAATTTCAAACACTGTCAGGTAAGTAGTTATAATGGTCTTGCAAATATATATATATATATATATATATATATATATATATATATATATATATATATATATATATATATACCAAACTGCCGAATAACCCTAATAACTATCAACTTCCACAAGTTGCATTTGCATTACGTATCATGAACCAATAACCCTAAATACTGTAGCTAGCTCTTGTACGACTTAATTATGAAAGTCAAGAAACCTTTTTAAAAGTAAACATTAATAATAAGAGAACCCTAATAATAATGAATAACATTCAAAGACTTTGTAAATGGATAAACACGAAAAGAGTTTGACCATAGGATCTAAAAAATAATGAAATAGAAGCACAACGGAAAGGTCACCGTCTAAGGGCAAAATGGTCAGAATAAATATAATGGCGAAAACCGTAAATAAAAGCGAAAACCGAGGGGCAAACACAAGCATGACAGACTGTCCCGCCAACGCGACCAAAAAACAAAGACTCGAGCAGCTCCAACTTGTTCCTTTCTCCAACGCCACAAAATTAATTTTTCTCATATTTCCAACAAATAGACCCCTGAATTTATTCATCTTTTGTATTTCGGCCCTACAAGTTTTTAACGTGCATGTTTGTGCAATTTTACGTCTTACCACAAAAAAAAAAATAACATAGTCAAAGCGTATTCTTGTCTACAACCAACTTCCACCATAACTAATCTAATATTAGAAATATTTGTTTGGATAATTTGGTTAATATTCAATTATAAGTAAACAATTTGTATTCTTCGTGATAGAGACTAGTATAATTATTAGAGTGACACACACTTTGTAATAGAGAAGTCATTTCGACATAACCACTACGTATTTATATATTTTATTTGGATAAATATCATTTCAATTCAATGCTTATCCAATCCTAATCAAAGAAAAAGGCTCAATTTCCATCACGCTTGGATCTAGATAACAATAAGAACATACCAACTTAAAGAGTACTTTTTTTTCTTTATAACAAAATTAAAACAATGTAGAATTACATCATCTTTTTCTGTTTTTGGTCATTATAGAAATGAAATGATGAATCATAGAGAATAAATTGTGAGGCGCAAAATTGTACAATAGATAAAAATTGTGAAACGTCTAATATTGTATCCAATCCCTTTTAAACAAACATATTAAAACACTACCACATCAATAATGAATTAAACATTTGATTAGGAAAATCTCACCTAGTGTGAATTTTTATTTTTATAAAAAGAATGGAGAAGAATTTATCTGGAACCAGACAAGCTTGGCACGAACCGGTCAGTGGCTACATTGTGTGAAGTCCAGCGAGTGATCTTAGCTTCTCGCATAGGATGAACGTGATAATCGTTTGTGGCCCGAGCCGTGCAAAAATCGCAAAGCCACTGTGTCAAGTAAACAAAACAAGCAGCATTTTTATATATTTATGTATTACGAATTATCAGAATGTATCCTCGTGAACAAGAAGGTTTTTTCTTTTTCTCTCACCCTTTGTAAAGTGCCAGAGGTCCTTCTTTGCAAACAACCTGATAGGATCATACACAATATCATACAAGGCAAGAAAGCAAGCAATGCCCAGTGAAAATGTATGAAAGAAAGGCTTACATTACCTTGTAACCGCAATGAAACCCGTTTCTGTAGATTCTGATGCTTTCAGAACCTTGCTGCAACATCAAGCGTGTTTTAATCATGTCTATGGGCGCCGTTATCAGTGTGCTTAAGACACCTGCAACCACACTTGAGCTTCATTCCTCAAGTGCTAGAATAAGTTAGTTTTTGGCGCTTCAGTTGATTTTTGTCTGAAAAAGAAACAGCAATAGTGACTGCTAAACTTTTACCACAAATGAAGTTGAAACCCTTCTTCTAAAGAAGTTCGTTTAACCAGAATCTGCAATTACAAGAAACTTTAGAAGCTGAAATGTTAGAAAGCAGCAACTCTTATTGAATCAATAAATGGTTGAGAAGCAGGATTACTTGACAATTTCAAAACAGAATTTTGGACTTTATGGTGCTCAAAAAGTGGAAAAGAGTAGTCTTAGAATATGACCCGTTTGGTTTCATCATATGTTGCAAGCTGTGAGGCTGTTAGTGCGGCAGCTCTAACCATGGCAGGACCAACTCCTTTCCATAAAGCTCCTATGCCTTCTTTAGAGACTATTTCCCGCACTTCTGCAATTGGAACTGCGTTTGGATTCATCTGCAACCTTACCTAACGAAAGGCATATTGATAAGTGTCTTAAAAACCAAGAAAGAGATCTAATGAACAGAATCAAAAAATTACTTAAGCTTTCATCTACCTTCACAACTTCAACCGGGTTGGTTAATGCTGTGGAAAACGCCCCAGCGAATGCGCCTGAGGCAATCTTGACCAAGACATTGGTAGATCCAAATGCCCAATCAAAAGAAACCTTGGTGGGTTCATATAATCCCAATCTGAGACCTCCATAAAGCACTGATCTAGTAAGAGCAGGAGTCAACCCCAAGTATAATGACCTAAACCCTTCATTCTTCATTAGTTGAACAAAGATTCCAGTCTGAAAAACATATCAAAGACTTCAAACTAAGTTAAATCAGCATCCCCAGTAACAACATGAAGAGGAGAAGTTCATCAAAACACTATTACCATTCCAATTAAAGGACCTCTTTGGCCGACATGCTGCATCTGCAATCTTACTTTCACTACATCTGGACAACGAAAACGACAAGAAGAAAAGATTTAAGAACAGTATGAAAGAAAAACAACCATTTTCTTCTCAGTAGTAGTTAAGCAGAGACTTATACACTGACCAACTACAAAATCAAGACTATACTGTTACATTATCCAAAGACCACTATCGAAGAACGCGTATTCGTAAGAAGAAACTTGAAAATCCATCACAAGTGCTACAAAACCTCAACAGAAAAAACCTATCTGCAGCATACAAAAGGCAAAATTGGAGCCAATGGTTCTAATTTCAAACCCAGAAGAAGGCAACAGGATCTAACCGAGAGGATGAGTGACGCCGGTGGCTAACGCAACGGACAATCCACTTGTGCCAAAATGAGACACCACCTTTGAAAACGGCGGAAGCAGATTCTGATGCTTCCTCAGTTCTTCCTTCCCTTCAACAACTACACAAATTCGGCGACACATTTAGCCAAATTATCGAAAGATAAACGAAAAAAAAAGGAGAAAGTATATCTCGATTCAAGTGAGAATTAGCATGATGAAACTAATAAACGAAATCTCTAGCATCATATTTGAGATTATGCAAATGCAAGGAAAAAGATCCGACCCACCTGGGATCGATGAAGCCACCGGCGGGGAGATATCTCCGATCATTTTTTTTTTCTTATGTTTTTTTTCTAATCCGTCGTGTGAGAAACGACGTCGTTTCATTAGGGTTATTAATACTCGTTAGATAACGTTGACGAATCTGAACCGTTAGATTCAACCCTTTTTATTAAAATTAGGCGAAAAGTGAATTCGACTCTCTCTCTCTCTCTCTGCACTTTCTTCTTCTTCCCCTCGCTGCTTCCGAAAGCTTCTCTGTCTCTCTCTCTCTTTAACTCGCAGGGTTCTTTGGAATCTTCTAACGATGCCGAGGTATAGGGTTTTAGATCTTCAACGTTATTATACTGATACAGAGATAACTGATTAAGTTCGAGATTAGGTTTTTAATTACTTGTTTGATTTTTGATTTTCGCAGGTATTACTGTGATTATTGCGATACTTATCTCACTCACGATTCCGTAAGTTTGTTTTTATTTCTTCCCTAGTAATCGATAACTCGTTGTAGCTGATGAACTAAAAGTTTGGTTATAAATTGATATCGATCTCCGGCGGTGCCTGTTAGGTTTCCGATTTGGATTCTAGTTTAAAACAAGTATGCTATTTACATAAGTATGTCACACTGGTTCGCTTCTTGCCTTTGACCAGCTTGATTCATTACTTGGAATCATGGTTTTGTGGTTAAGCTAAAGTTTTCCTATACAAATTCAATTTTGTTTTTGTGAAGTGAACTTAGTTAGATCCAATTTTGTTACCAATTTCCGATTGAAAGTTTATTTATCAATATAGTTGCATTTTGTTATCTGTAGTGTCTTCTCGTATCTGTAAAGTTTTATATTTGATCTTTTTCAGCCATCAGTAAGGAAGCAGCACAATGCTGGTTACAAGCACAAGGTACATAAAGAGAGTCTAGAGAATGTTTTTTTCTTTTCTTTCTTTTGTATACATGGTTTTTCTTAATGTGTTAAGAGTTTGATGATCTTTTCAGGCGAATGTGAGAATATACTATCAGCAATTTGAGGAACAACAAACCCAAAGTTTGATTGATCAGAGAATTAAGCAACATCTTGACCAAACTGGAGGGTATCCACAGGTTGGAGCTGTGTTTAATCAGCATATGCTCGCCAGACCTCGCCCTCCGATGATGCTACCACCTGGAGGTATGCCTATGGGTATGCGACCTCCTGTTCTACCGAGACCCATGATGCCTGGTCAAGGTAATTTCTGTTACTTAAATAGTTACCCTCTTGCTGTGCAGATTTACATTACAAAAGTTTTAGTTGATAACTTTCATATAGTTATCTTTAGAAAAGACTAGAGATGATGAATTAGAGTATAATAGAGAACTTCATCAATATAGGTGATTTGAGAAACTTGACATGGCAAGAAACTTTGGGTTAAATTGTACAGATGGTCAATATGAGCTTTGATTGTCACTTCTTGTTGTGTCAGACCTTACGAAATAGATTTCATTCATTTAAACCATGTCGGTCAAATATCGATTAGTATGTTTCATACATAGATATTCCATTTTCTTTGCGCACAATTATTTGAAGTGAGATGTACTATTGTACCTTTGCAGGATACATGCCTCCTCAGGGAGTACCACAGATGATGGCACCGCCTGGTGCTCCTCTACCTCCACCTCCTCAAAATGGTATTCTGAGGCCACCAGGAATGGCTCCCATACCAGGTCAAGGTGGCGGACCACCTCCCAATTATAATGGACTACCTCCTCCTCCTCCTTATCATACAAATCCTGCTGCTCCACCAAGTGGTAGTTTCAACAATCCGAACCCCAACAATCCGAACCCCAGTGCTGAATCTCCTGAAAGCAACGAGTAGAGTTAGTAGGTCTGAATGAATCATTTTTCTCCTGCCAAAAAATTCTCAGAGCTGTTGTTCAACACAGTATCTTACCTTTTCTAATCCAATTTATGTGAAGAGGTTTAGAACTAATGTATGTGAAATGCGTCATTTCTATGTGGTAGATTATTGTATCCATTAGAGTGATGCAAGGGGGAAAATCTGAGGTTTCTTATCTCTTTAAAACAAACTGGTTTATGAAAGATCTATTAAAAGGCTTCATTCATCGCTTGTACCAACCAGTAAATGAGTGAGTAGAAAGAAGTAGACATGATGCTGTAAACTTATGTGTTTCTTTGGTTTCCTTTCTCTGAAATTGAGAAGAGTCCATGCCTGGAACAAGAGAGAACCAAAAAATTGTAAGGAGATGTGCATTTGACAAATTTATGTTCTATCCATTATAGTTGGTTGGTTCGTGGTTACACAAACACACACTAGGATTATAATCTCTGAATTTGTGATAATGTGGTTGCAAACCTGGCATATTCCAGTTTCTGAATCACGATTCCATTCAGTAAAAGCTCAGAGGTGAAAATTACAGCTCCTACATTACAAGTGTTTATGGAAAGATTACATTGATTTAACTTAAAAAATTGTTCTTTCTTAGTGTAAAACTGGCATAGACGTTACCTTGATTAATGAAAGGAAGACAGAAATCCCGATCCTCTTCGCAAGAAAGAATCATCAGATCATCTGGAAAGTTTCTATCCTTTGCAGCAATTATCTCACGTACCTCCACTACCTGATAAAGGAACTCATAACCAACCATCCTGAAGAAGCGCTAAGATGTCTATGAAACAAAATCTCTCAACTGAAGTGAGTTGTTCGTACCTGCCCTTGAGTCATCTTCACTAGGTCAGTAATCATACCTCTGCTTGGTTTAATGTTGGGAGTGATGCAGACTTTTAACCCCTATGAATAAATGTGAGATATATGATTTCAGATATTCGTGAACAAAGGATTGAGCTCTGATAAAAGCTCAAATGAGATAGATTGTGACCTTAAGAAGGGGATGCTGCTTCGCACGGGCCAAAGATGTAAGCATGCAGAACCCGTCTTTTTCCTTTTTGCTATCCCTCAAAATGTAACTCTTCTCATCTATCAAGCATCTTGTTTGTGCACAGCTCTCTAGCCATAGAGGCGTAACAACAAATTTACCAAGGGCTATGGCTTCCAACATATTCCTTGTCCGAGCAAATCTATCTGCTATGAAATGTGTTGAATCTGCTGAGGAAGATGCCGGAGAAATTCCCAGTCGAACCATTATCTATGGAAGAAAATAGGGAATTCTTGATCAATTGTAACCCATATGACGTAGTATATATACTTACACTGTCAAAACTGATAAAAAGGAGGCTAGAACTTAAACCTTCTTCTGCTGCTTGGTTGTTTCATCATCCAAATTATGGCTGAACAAGACTCGAACATGTGCCAAGTTTCTTCGTCTCCTTAGGTCTTTCCACACGAAGTCACCTACTATTCCAGGTTCTCCAAGCCTCGTAGTAAGCTCCTTCTGAAGGAATAACCTGGGAAAATCTTTATTGCAAGGGCTTTCATGACTTCCGTCATATATTTTCCTCGGAGATGCATGATTTGCAATATTCAAGTCAATGACTCCTGATTGGCAAGAAGAGGCTTCTCTTGTCCCACTTAATGATACTCGTAACCTGCTCGACAAAGTGTTGGTTTCACTTCTGTTTTTAACTGAACTAACACCCCACGATCTTCTAGGTGGGACGTGATGCCTTTGCATAAGACGCGATCTTTTGGCCCTGGGATGCCTCCATTCACATAAGTTGAGAAGACATGTTGTAACAGAGACGTTTGTTCCGGTCTCTTCCTTGGTGAATTTTCTCTTCTTCTTAGAGTTTCTTTCCTTGTGTGGAGCACTAAGCAGACTACTCAAGTTGTCTCTTTCAGGTCCACCCTCAATGGTATCCTTGTTCCTTCTAGAAAAATTACTAACTTGATCCCTCATTTCTGATAACTTCCCAGGAATTTGGTCTGATTCACAAGCTTCTTCGTTAGTGCAGGGAGCATACACTAAAGCACTCATTGCTTCAGCAGCAATTTGAGTGTTAATACCAATGTCAATAAAGTCTTCCTCGGGTTCCAAGTGCTCCTTTGATGCCTTATCCTGAAACTGAGCATCCTTCTGTGAGATAAACATAATGCCCTGACTCAAACCTGATGCTTGTTCCATCTTATGATGTTTTGCAGAACTGTTCTGCATAAATCTTTGTGTGCGATGAGTTGAGACTTTTCTATCCTCACACAGATCCATAGATCCTTTCTTCACTCCAAGATCAATCATTGGATCATCACCTGCAACATGATCCTCTCTTCTCTTGGAGCATGTAATGCTTGCACGAGTGACTGGAGAGTTTTTAGGGTCACTCACATCACACTGATCACTACCCCAATCAAAGACACTCATTTTCCTGGTTGGACTTCTGGTCTTGATTTTTTTGGCAAGAGATTGACATCCTTTAGCACCTGTTACAGGAGGTGACTTCCTTCTCCAACTATTTTCCGGGAGCGTCACTGGGGACAAATCTAGATCTTTGTCCATCAGAAATTGATCCACAAAACCAAGGGCATCTGCTTGTGTTGACTCTCCTGGTTCCTGAGAATCCAAAAGTTCCAGCCCTGGACCATGACTATTAGCAGTAATCCGCGAAGAACCTTGGAAACCGGTCACAGTATCACAATTTGATTCTTGCTTTCCTTGAAGAAAGAGATACAGTAAGATTGATCCGAGTTAATACAACATATTTTTGCAAAGAAGATGGATTAATGGCATCATAACAACACAAAGATATGTTTACCTATCTGACATTCGTGATCATTCGATCCATCAGACTCCAAAAGTATATCTCCAGCTTTCGGTCTTAGCTCCCGCAAACATATCGGCTCACCAGCAGCGACACTTCCATTTCCTCCATCTTCATCCTCACTATCATCCACCACCACTTCGTCGAGACCACAATTTCCGATGTCTACGAGCTCCGTATCATCGTAGAGATTTTGAAATGGGGTTTCAAGTAACGAGCTATCAAGCACAATTTCTTCATCAATCGGCTCTGTATCTTCAATTTCTCCGCATCCCAAAACCCCATTAACCTCATACCCTAAGAGAAATCCAGAAATGAAATTGGTACAATGAATGTACCACCTCACAATCTACAATTATCCAGAAAACAAGACAATCCGCAAGAAAAACAAAAAAAAAGAGGAAAGTACACAAATCGTAATCTCGAAACTCACTGTGATCCGAAGAAGCTGAAGGAGACTGCGAATCGGAGGCGAAAACTTCGGTGTCCATAAGATTGACCATCGAAACTCGATTATCAAAGCTGTCAAAGAAGAAATCGAATCGCAAGAAGCGCCCAATTCATGTACGATTAGAATCAGAGAAGAAACCCTAGAGGTTCCATTGACGATAACTGGTGCTGATTGGCGGGAGAGAGACGAGTCCAGAGCTATGACGAGTGGTTTTGAAAAGCATAATTCTATAATACGATATTTATGGGTTCTATATATCTAATATAATGTTATAGAAAGATCAAAATTGGGCATTTGGTCTAGTGGTATGATTCTCGCTTAGGGTGCGAGAGGTCCTGAGTTCAATTCTCGGAATGCCCCAATTCTTTTTATTTTTTCTATGTCTAAATATTTCAATAAGAAAACAAGACATGTTACCTCAATTTCTCTTCTCAGTTTGTCCACAATGTTCTTCTCCCTTTTAATCTTCTTCACCTACATTTCAGGAAAAAAGATTATATATTATGTCTTCTAGAAGGAAACGAAACTACTTATTCGACACCTCATAAAAACTTTGGTATTTTTCTACTCTTTGTATGCGATTTGGTGAAGAATCTTCATGAATTTGGTCAAGTGAACATTTAAGAATGTTACAAATTTATCGACATGTCAAAGATTGGCAATACTTTGCTTTTCTTTTCCCTTCCTCTATTTTTTTTTCATGAGTGTGAACTTGCTTATTTAATAACATTACTTCTTTTTTTTTTTGTGATAATAAATAACATTACTTTCATTTCGTAAAGTAATATTAATAACATTACTTTACGATATGAGTTAATTAATTTATTTGCTAGCAACACATGGTATTAGGATTGTGTACCTTTGTTGATATATGAGTCACTTGTTTTAAGAACACATTTCATTACTTTGGACTTTGAAATTCTAAGTTAAAAATCTTTGGTTTGTTTTCTTGGTTAGATTTTATACGTGTCATAATCTAAACCAATTTGCAAATATGTATTGTTGTTTAAAAAGCTGATATGCTACCAAGTCTTCGACTTTATATAATCTGCCAACAAATAGATACATCTTATTAGGTGGGAACACCATTAGATATCAAATGAAAATAAATGGGTCAAAAAAAGAAAAAAAAAAAAAAAGGGTCGTATGCAATGTCTCTGAATAAGAACATTTGTCTACTGAACAAAATATATCATAATGTTAATTATTAGCTTTCTGTCGGGTTATGAAGATGGTATTGGTAGGTACGTTGTATAACAGTAGAAATGAATACGTAAATATTATTCATTATTAGACAGCTCATAATAAGCACCAACACATGCCACAGGCATTAGAGGTTTAATTTTTTAAAAGGTTTTCTTCTTTTCTTTTTTTTTTAACAAAAGAAAGGGCCTTTGATTTCAAAAAACAGGGTTTAAAATTCTTATTGATATTGCAATAAAATTCCATGATATAACATATTTTAGATTTATATTAAAGATTTTTGACACCAAAAAAAAAGATCGATGTTAAAAAATAGTATGTAGTTCAACAAAAAAACTCAGCCTATTAGGCTATTACAATCTTGTTTTGGGAAGAAATCAACACATGCCTTAGTAACTTTTATGTTCCTTTTTTTTGTCTTCATTAGCAAATCAAACCTTTTACAAATACACTTGCATGCTAGTATGCTTAGATTCTCTCTCTCTCAAGACCACACATTATGTACCCTCTATATCTATATAAGACGTAAACACAGGGACCATTCTCTTCAAAGAGGAGAAATCAGAAGTTAGGAAACGACAAAGATACCGATCTATCTCGGAGCAATAGCACAAACATGTTTCAGATTGGGTCAAGCATCCTCCTTCTCTATACATACTTCTTCATTTTCTGCAGATTTAACAATGAACACTCTTTGTTCTAACTTTTCTTTTCTATGTATGAAATAGAAAAAACGCATTATATAAGAATGTGAGCAAGAACTTCCTTATCAACGGAATCTCCTCTTCCGCATCATCTCATTCATGTTCAAGGCAAGTACTATCTTAATCCCACTCTTCAATGTCTCCAGAATTAATGAATAAAAAATCTTAATTTTTTAGAATCTAATCTAAATAGTATCAGATTAATATCAAGTATTTTGAGAAAGTTGCAAGAATATGCACTTTGTAAGTCCATGTGCATGTTGAAGAAATTTTTTGTTTCCTTGCTAAACCAGATAGCATCTTGAAAAAAAAAAAAAAAAAACTGTAATAAATTAATGTAAATTATTATATATTTTATTAATAAATATCCTTACATTGTCTATTTTTTTTTTTTTTTTTTTTTGCAAATGAATTCTTTTATTCATTGTAAGTTGGGATAAATGAATCAAACAAAGGCCTTAATATGTTTATATATATATATATATATATATATATATATTTGATCAAAACTAATATGTTTCTATATATACGTCTATTTGTGAATGACATATATAAAGTAATTTGATATTACAAGTTGGTTGCATTGATTTGTCTTTTTCGACAAATCTTATCTTGAAGTTAGAAAGCTTTTATTCTTCCCACCAGCTAAGAAATGTCAAACGTGTTATCAGAAAGAGAAGAAATGTGAGACATAGTTTATCTTGTGAAAACATAATCGAGGAGATGATATTTGAACACAATTTTGAATCTAAACCAAATCATATATTAAGATTCAAAACCAACTGTTTTTAACATTTTAAAGTTTTGCTTATAAAACAGAATATCAGCCATAAGAAGTTAAACTGGAAAACTAATTTAAAAATGATTACATTATAGATTTAGAAATATGAGAAGTTTTACCTAATACAAATACTGAATCTATAGTTGTTATGTTTTAGGAAGCTAGAAGGTAAAGTAGCACTCATCACAGGAGGAGCAAGTGGGATTGGCAAAGCAACAGCCGGAAAATTCATCAGCTATGGAGCCAAAGTTATCATTGCCGATATCCAACCACAGATTGGGCGAGAAGCCGCGCAAGAACTCGGTCCCAGTGCTGCTTATTTCCCATGCGATGTGACCAAAGAATCAGACATTGCTAACGCAGTTGACTTTGCTGTCTCGATCCATACAAAGCTCGACATTATGTACAACAATGCTGGTATTCCCTGCAAAACACCTCTTAGTATCGTGGATCTTGATCTCAATGTTTTTGACAAGGTATTGATCTATAAGAACATTTGAAAGAACGAGGGTGTGAGCATTTGGTTTTATCTGATCATCTTCCTCTTATGTTCTGCAGGTAATCAACACAAATGTCCGTGGAGTCATCGCAGGAATCAAACATGCTGCTCGTGTGATGATCCCACGTAATTCCGGATCCATCATTTGCGCAGGGAGTGTCACGGGGATGATGGGCGGTTTAGCACAACATACCTACAGCGTCTCAAAATCCGCTGTTATCGGAATTGTAAGATCAACAGCTTCAGAACTATGCAAGCACAGGATCCGGGTCAACTGCATCTCTCCTTTTGCAATCACAACATCATTTGTGATGGATGAGATGAGACAGATTTACCCCGGTGTTGATGACTCAAGGCTAATCCAGATAGTGCAGAGCACAGGAGTGTTAGATGGAGAGGTTTGTGAACCGAGCGATGTAGCTAATGCAGCGGTTTATCTCGCTTCCGATGATTCAAAGTATGTAAATGGGCATAATCTGGTGGTTGATGGAGGATTCACAAGTGTAAAGACGTTAGATTTCCCTGCACCTGACCAAGTGAAGTAACAAAACTCAGATTCATAATTTACAATGACACTGTTCTTGAAACCTTCAAGTGAACTAAACTAAACTAGACTAGAGTCGCTAGACTAGAGTAGGCCGGTTTCTATTCTGTCAACAATCAAATTTATAGCTGCATTTGCGGATGTGAAAGCTCCATGGAAGCTTTCTTGGTATGAAATTGAGGTTAAATCTTGAGCCATCTTCAACAAAATCTCTCCCATGTCAGTTTCTTTCTCAAGCAATGAACTGTAATATGACTTGGCAGCTACTTCACTGATCTCCACATTGGTTGGCTCAGGGCAATACTCATCATCCAACCATTTGTGTAGAGTTACTCTCAACCATTCAGATTCCTGAATAAACATTTCAAAATCAGCAATCTAAAAAATCATACCATATAATCAAAGCAAGCAACTTTTTATCTGTTCTGTTTTCTCATAATTAAGCAATTTTATGAGAAAAAAGAGAACCAAAAATTAGCATTCGAGCAAAGCAAGCAACTTTTTAACCAAAAACAGAGGAACCTTAAATCAGCATTCAAGTAAGCAATGTTGGGGATATTTGAAACCAGAAGCAGGAGAATTGCAAAACACTAAAAAGTCAATTGCTTGAAAAAAATTGAACATGACGTTTGATGGGAGCGAGAAAGCACCTCAATGGCCCTAGAAGGGAGCAACCACTCTTCTGGAATCGTGAGGGCTTGTACGGATGATTCTGAGCCTTCTTCCCCTTCATGGGTCGAAGATTGAGAATTTCTGAGTTTCAAAGACGGAAATTTCGGCGCCGATGTTATCGGAAAGCTGACTGGTCTTCTCCGAATCGTCGCCGGAAAATCAAAGTGTTTGGTTAATGAGAAAGGATGTAAATTTACGACGTTTCGGGTCACGTATGAGCAAACCCATGAGCTCATTCTTCGTCTCGTGTTCTATCACTTCACTTCGTTGATTATCTCAAGAGGCTCTCTTTGGTGGCTGCAATTGAATTTGAGCGAGGAAGATAAGATGACGTCATATTTAACTGCTCGTGACGTGACTGTCTTATACGACGACGTTTCAATGAAGTGCCACTTAAAACGATTCCTGTTTTTTTTTTTCCTCCTGACAAAGAAGCCTAAGATCAAGATCTCTTATTTGTTTTCTTGGGAGGCGCACTTGAGAGCCTCATGAACTCATATTGGATTCCAAGTTTGTTTCCAACATCCCAAATTCGAAGATAAAAGAGTTGAGATAATACAAAATCTTTATTAATCATCAAGATATCTAAAACAAAACATTATGAGTCTTATTCATACTTAAAGCACCCAACCTCGCATAGAATCATGAGAAATAGTAAACAAAGACGCAAAAGGTGATAAGAAAATATTTCGCAATTGAATTGGAAGCAAAAAGAACACAAAAGCAAACCCTAACTAAATTTGCAAGCAACAAAGTCACTACTTGTTTCTTCTCTCCCATCATCTTCTTGTAAACTCTGTTTTCTTCTCTCAATCTCTCCAACTCTTCCTTCATTGTCTCACTATCATCGCCAAATTCAACAATTTGGTCTTTTTCACTTTCAGCTTCACCATCAGACTCTGTTTCTTCACACAATTCCGACCGGAGCTCGTCGCAGGTTGATGAGTTATGGCTGTGCTGTCCGAATTCAGAGAAGAGGTTTTGATCAAGAGATCATGCTTCTGCGCCAATGAGCGATGCGAGCGGTATAAATCCTCTACCATGGCAATGAGCTTTGGCTTATTCTCTGGTTGTTGTGAGAGAGCTTTTGTGATTGCGAGAGGGTGGAACTTGCAAAAAAGGTAAAAAGATAAGTTTTTGAGTTACCAGAGAGAGTAGTGTTAAGCCAAGGAGAGGAATTTGATGTGTTGTGATTTGCACCAATCCACCACCATTTTGATGTCTCATTCATCGTCTTCACTCGTAATTTTCACCTACTTCAAGATTTGTAACAGTGTAATTAATGCAAATAGAGATTTAAATGGTGCAGTATCAACCCTCTTTTCTTCTCTTTGGCCTCTCTCTATCTTTGTGGTTTAAAGGTGGTGTTACTAGTATTTGGAGAAAAATGTAAATGATCCTTTGCTCTTCGTTTTAAAGAATTGACTTGTAAATCATAGGTTTTGTACTCTTATAACCATATACAGATTCATATGTAATTTACGTATATAGTCCTAGTAGAATCTGAATTGGTGTGCTGCGGCGTTAGAACTTTTATGATTTTGAAATTAGGGTTTTGCTATGCAAATCCATATTAAATTTACGTATATACCCTTAATAGAATTTGAATCATGATGTTGTGGCGGCGTTAGAACTTTCATGATCTTGAAATTATGGGTTTCATATGCAGATCTATATTAATTACTTATATACCCTTAGTAGAATTTGAATTGTGATGTTGTGGCGGCATTAAAACTTTTCTAATCTTGAAACTAGGGTTTTATTACGTAAATTTATATGGAATCTACATAAATACCCTTGGTATAATTTGAATTAGTGATATAGTGGTGGCATAATATTTTTAATGATTTTTGAAATTAAGGTTTCACTCTTTATTAAATATCTTGTCTAATAAGGAATTTTTGCACACAAGTTTAAATGGAAACAAAATCTCCAAATATATCTTCCTATTTCTAACCATTATACTTAAAAATCTTTATCTTTTCAAAATTTGGAATTGGTATGATTACAAGAAGTATATCAGGTATTCTTCAAAATTTTAATTTATTCATTACCTCTATTCCTTTTTGTTTTGCTTATTTTATGTTATCCACAACTAACTTGCACATATTACAAGATTATATGATACCACCGAGACAACAAACAATAGTACCTAGCAATTATATTACAAACCATGGTCCATTTGTTTTTGTCTTAAGAAGAAGATTAGGTATATAAGAAATGATGTTGAACACAAAAAAGGGTATATATATAAGAAATTAAGAGGGCTTTTTTTTCTTTTTTATAACTGCTAATAAGTGGAAATCCCTTGATCCAAAAGATTAAAGGTTTTTATAACAAGTCCGGAGTTCGATTTTTATAAAATGCACTTTTTGCAGATTAATGATATAAAAAACTAGTTGAAATTTTCAAAGTGAAGCATATAAAACTGTTTCTTGTGGTCTCTTGTGTTAAGGATAAGATTATTTATCATTGGTATGACACATATAAGAATCATAAGTAGAAGATCTAAATATTACGGGAAATGCTGCACGTTGAGAAGTTGTTCGTGAAAGTGTTCATCATATTCGCTTGCGTTACTTACATATAGTCGAATTAAATCAAAATATCTATAACGTTAGTGTAGCATACGACAGAAAATGTTAGTAGTTGATAATCCTCTTTAAGCATCGTTTAGAACTTCTTAGCAATGGAATTTTAGCAACCAAACATCACCACGCATGGCCACAAAGAACATGGGCTTGTTGGACAAGCCCAATACAATGAATTAAAATCTGAAGTATCCTAAAACTATGGGGGTGCTTTTCGTAATGTATCCAAATCTACGCTGGTTTTCTGGAAAAAATATAAAACTCTAAGGGTATAATAGCAATTTTAAATAAGGTCGGCGATTCCCACTCCAGACTTCAGAGTCGCCGCCAATTTCAATTAGGGTTCGTGATTTCTTCCCCTTTCTCGGCTTATTGTGGAGGTTTATCGCTTAAAAAAACTCGCGACAATGAAGAAATTCTATCAAAAAAATGAGCATGATACTGATAGATCCAAATCGACGGAGACGAAGAAGAGGAAGAACATGAAGAGATTGGGAGGCGGTGGTCTTTCTCTCCAAACTTTTGCCAACATGAAATCGGAAAACAATCGCTATAACCCTTCTTTGATCAGTAAGAGATTCCTCTCTCTACCCAATTTGAAAAAAGTTTCCTTTTTGATTGTGACGAACTATTTTAGGATTTAAGATTAGGATCATGTTATGAATACTACAATGTGGTTATTGACTATGTTTCCTTTGGTGTTAGGCATCAGAAGAGAACTATTTGGAGTTCCTTCAATGGTGTATAGTTTCACAGTTTAAGTGTGTTTTTATATGTTTACATGTTTTAGTCGGGTTCGTTATGAGAATCAGACTAGGCTTGAAGTAAGATTGAATGAGTTGTTTCTTTGGTGCTTACTTTCAGAAAAGCAAAAAGAGTTCTACAAGAATGCAAAGTATGTGAGCAAGTTTAGGAAGTCGGTGAAGCAGCAGGACATTGATGACAAGAATGAGACTGGAGAGAGTAGTAAGGTAGATGATGACGATGATGATAAGCAGAAGAGTAGATCTAATAGGAGAATTGGTGTAGAGGATTTGTACAAGCAGACAAGAGAAGAGATGGAGAAAGTAAGGAAGGAGAGAGAGGCTACGTTTCAGGCGAAGAAGGAAGCGAAAGAAGAGGCTGAATCCAGGAGGAAAGTAGCAAAGGGGAAAATGATGAGAAAGACTCGACATGGTCAGCCTGTAATGAAATACAGAATAGAGCATCTTCTTGAATCCATCAAGAAATCTGCTGGAATCGACGAAAGCTCATGACTGGTTAATACAGTGCAGATCAAGAACCCTTCCAGTTATTTGGAGCTGATGGAGGATTTTCTCAAAACATGGTGAGGAGCAGTTGATGGTGTTACGGAGGCTCGAAGCAGAAACCTTGTTGTCATCTCAGATACTGACCTTTTTCTTCCCAGAGATATTATATTACACTACTGGTTCTTTATTTCTTAGTATTATTACTTTGAGAGAGATGCTTTGCGGCAACATTTGTAGTTTTTGGCTAGGCCTTACTGTTTAGTTCATGATTTTAGCTGTTTATTTACGAACTTTTTTGGCTATAAATCTTATAAAATGATAAATTTTATTCCAAACTTTGGTACAAACACAAGGTTTTGTTTAACAGAGTACAAGCTATGAAATGCTTCTATCACTGACATTCTAACATCTTAGTGAAAACAATATGAAAGGGAACAAATGGAAGGTGAATCTCCCACAACAATGTCTGCAAAAACTCAAGATGATAAGGAAAATATTACTGAAGCAGCAAGTTTACTTTATGGCTAGATGTGAAACTCCGATCTCAGGATTCTTGTGTATCGTCCACACAAATTCAGGTGTATCCATTCTCGGTCCAGCGACTGTTCTATATATGTATATCCTCTCAACTGGAGAGCTCTCAGGTCTTGTCTCTGGAGGATGTTCATCAATGACTTCGACATTGAGCCTTGGCATTTTCTTACTTAGAATCTTGCAAGCACCAAAACTTACAAAGCAGGACGACATCCAAAGGGATCGCATGGTTTCTAGTTTCGCAGCGTGCTCCAGTAGTGCAGTGTCTCCAAAAGGGCAATCTCTTATTTCAAGCTTCTTTAAACTCTCACAGCCCGACAACAAGTGATGAAGCATCAAATCACTGTCCCCAGCAAATGCTATTGATAGCATCCTAACCTTCTTGGCATGTTTCCCAATGTATTTGAAGGCCTTGTCGGAGAGGAGACCAGAGACGGAGAGCCGTCGAAGATCCTTGCATCCCTCAGCTATCGCTTTGAATCCTTTATCAAGTGGCTCATTTGTTTTGTAATCGGGAGCAAATGGCTCTATCACACAGAGACGGAAGCACTTGAGATTCGGACGTTTTCTTGCTATGGTAAGCAAAGCTGCGTTTGTGAACTGGACACAGAAGTAGAGAACAGACTCCAGCTTTCGACAGCCTTTAGACACAACGACCAGGCCTTGTTCCGTCAGAGGTATGTTGGCTTCATCGAGATCTGGCGCAGATGGAAATACCCTCAGTTCTCGCAGTTCCTTGCAATAGGAGGCAACAGCTTCAAGACCTTTGTCCTCTATCAAGTCCATCACCTACAAAAAATTGTCTCACTAGTAAGAACCAACATAAGTGGGATACTCAAAGAGTCTTGAAAAATGCAAATACTCACCCATAGCTTCTGCAGTTTCGAGCATCGCCTAAGAAGCTCGACAAGATCAGGCATTCGGACAGTAGCGTAGCTCAAGTTCAACGAGGTAAGACCAGGACAGACAGAATAAAGAGCTGGAAGATATTCAGGGAGGACATCCCAGAGACCAGATAAGCTCTGAAGTTGCTTACAGTTTGAAAAAGCTTCTGATAACTTTGAAAACGCTTCTGGTTTCAGTTGAAATGCGAAAGAACCTGTGCCGAGCTCAGTCAGTTGTGGAGCACGACGAAGCAAGCTAACGAGTCCATCTAGAGTCACAGCTGGATTCAACTTCAGAGACTTGAGGTTTGGAGATCTGCTCACGAGACGCTCTAAGTCCGAGATTTTAACCTCGGAATCTAAACAAGAGAAGTCAAGAGAGACCAGAGAAGTTGAAGTCTCTGGAAAATAGCTAAGCCAATCTCCTCCTAGATCTTCAACAATACACTCTCGTAGTTCCAACACTCTCAAGTTTCTGTTTTGAAAACCAGACAACAAAAAAAAAAAAAAAAAACCTATGAGATTTATTTAACTAACTAAAAAAAACAGAGTCTATTTTTTTGGTTAGAACCGAACCTGCAAGTTGCTGCAATAGCAGCAATACCATCAGTAGAGAAACCTTCACAAGAAGTCAACACAAGGACTTCAAAATCCTTAAACGAAGCAGCAATTTTTTCTAAGCACTCATCAGTCACCACCATTCTCTTCAATCTGATCTCCTCAAGAGACGGACATTTCGCCGCCATGGCTTCAATCCACGGCCAAGCATAACCACCCCAACCATCAGGAACCAAATTATAGTCAGCAAAGTGTGGCTTACCCTTCAAAGTCAAAGATCTCATCTCCGGGAACCGCTTTGCAACAGCAGCAGGACTGACCGCGTAACAGTTTCCGACAAAGACCCGCTTCCTAGTTTTCCGTTCTGTCTCGAACCATGACTTGCAGACCAGAGAAACAGAGTTCCGGTCCTCATTGGAATCAATGAAGGAGAGGATATGTTCCAGAACCTTAGATGGTAACCGGAGACCCATCAGAACAGAGAGAGAGAGATCAAGAAATGAAAAAAAAAGGTTTGAGATTTGATTCAATATGAGTGATCTAAATCGAAAGAGTGGAGCTTTTGATATATATAAACAGAGCAAGTGGAGAGA